TCTCTTAAAATTATTGCCACAGGTTGTTTTCAGAACGTTTTTGTAAGGAAAATGTAATACAGTGTGATTTGGAATGCTCAGATCATAAAGTTAGAGTGAAGATTGATACATTTCTGTCTCTATAAATACTCCCAACATTTTGTCACCGACTTTGTATTTTGGTCACGTGAATCCACCAGGTTTTCCAGTTTCCTTTCAAATTCTGTTGAAGGATCATAAATGTACAGACATGAAACTATTTCAGAGAATATTCATTTTCTTCCGAAACTGACATGCAGAAGGAATGATATTGCTGGATTTGTCTGACTGCTAAGTGCATAAAACTATACACTTCATCACTAGAACAATACATATAAGTTGACGAAGCTCTATATGCTTAACTTTTTGTAATTGAGGCAATGCTTAGATAGAAAATATTTAAATATAGTTGCCTCAGTAGTCGTTTGAGAATGTTTCATAATATCTGCGTCATTCGTGTGTAAATTCATTAAAAATTCAGTAACCTTTACACCGACTATATGAAACATCAGGTGGAGTTTAGAATGGACCTTGGGATTCTCAACAAAAGGATGATCTTTACTCTTAATTAGGTTCTCAAACGTCAAGCTAGACAAAAGAATAGTAACCAATTTGTATGCCGGAAAGTTGATCAACTTTTATTGTCCAAGTAAGTACTGACACATTCAATCACTTTTCACAAGAATATATAGTGTTTTTCTTTCTCTCTATTGTTCCATGTTGTATCTGTTGTTATAATCGTTTTGCACACTCACTTGTTATTTTGACTTCAGTAGTTGTCAAGATATTGCGTAATTATATTGGGTGAATTAGATTTCATTGATACACCTAACTTCATCTTACCGAAATGACTTCATGAAGAATTTGTGTATTGTGGAGAGAATTTATTTTGTGCAATATTAGTAATGAATATTTACACGCAATGATATTACTTAATTGTGTTGATATTTTAAGCAAACATACTACTCATGATCACATCAATCACTGGAATGAATGATGGTGACCAATCCATCTTACCTAACTCTAGAGTATTCGTTAACTTTAATTACAAAAACAGATTCACTCCAATCAAGTTTCTATCAACAAAAAAATCTTGAATACAATTACACTGAATGAAACTCGGTAGTATTTCTGATGTATTTACGTTTTTGTTTATAGCCATTGTTTAAACATTTCAGGGCATAATAAGTTGAAGAGAACTAGTGTTAGAAACAGAATTCATGTTAGTCTGAGGATACTGTTATGTTTATTTCATCCGCTTAGATTCCTTGATGAACATGAATTTTGCAGTAAGAAGACAATTCACACGGTAAGATGATTTCACTTTATTCTATAGGGTTTTTGTCAGCTGCACACAACCTGAATAAACAAGTAAATAATCACTAGAACGAACAATAACACACCTTATATATTTCTCATTACTGATTTATTGCTTATTTACTTAAATCTCCTTTGATCTTCAAGGCTTTAACTAGTATCATGACACGCTCCATATAATGTATGTTATTATTCGTTTACTGATAATTTACTTATTTATTCAGGTTGTAGGCAGCTGACAAAAATCCTATTAAATAGGTTGAAGTCATGTTATTATGCAAATGACGTTCTAATTGCGTTATTCAGTGTTTTGATCACGTTGTTCAGTATCATATTTTGAGTCAAAAATTTAGAATTTGTCACTAAAACTCCTTCGGTGTTTAGCAAAGAATAGGTGAACGCCTAGATTATGATACACCATTCACCACATATACCTTATTTAAAGACACTGTGGAATTAAGAATACACTTAGCAGGTCAGTTTCAGTGGTCATGTAATCACTTATCATTAAAGTTATTCCTCTCTGAAGGACTGACTTTCAGGTTGTTAATGTGTGAATACGATGAGAACCTGTTTCAATTTTAGAGCTCTAAACATTTTGCTAACATTTGCGGTTAAGTTTACATGAACCCGATTAGGGGGGTTAGGCCTAAGCATTCTTCAAACTGCGGAAGATATGACAATCCACATCATAAAGTTTAAACTCCATATGTTAATGGGATACGTGTAAATAACTACGGTATTTATACCATACCGAAAGATTTGGGCTTAGGAACGCCATTACTCACAGTTTAAATTTTTAAATAAATAATTCAGAATTTCCAGGTGAAATTTTAAAAACCTACAATTTCTGAAAGATAGATACAGGGATGCCTTGATTAGCATTTTGTAGATATGAGTAATTTTGAAATACCTAAGCCAAGTTACTGAATTTATCCAGAAACAGCGTTTAACACTTACAAAGATGACAACAGGTGTATCTGTCAATCATAAGAGAAATCACATACGCGGATAATTCTTGTCAAAGAATATTTGTTGCCTTTAACGATAATTTTCGCATTCATCAGAGTGAGTTAGTGAATAATAGGAATGTTTTATGAGACAGTTACTTAACAAGACAAAAAATTACTAGAAACACAGAATAAAGTAGTGTTCTATGCATTTCCAATATCCTGATCATAAATGAATTCGTCAAAATGTTGACAAAGAAACGGGGAAAAGATAAATTATATCAGTAAAAGACTTCAGAGTAACAAAGTCGATAATGACAGAAAAAAGTAAGTGAACTACACCATCTTTGGATGAAGACTGAAATCAGTGATAATAAGGTAGATTCAATGTAGGTGCAAAATGTATTTTAACCTGATCTCAAGAGGCTCTGAATGCGTGACTTTAAAGCTGAACCAAAAAACCAAGTAGACTTCTTAACTTTAGAAAAATCTGCTTATGAAAAACCTAATCAGCCATTTCGGTCATTGCCAGGGTTGCCGTTATAGTTACCCCTCTGAAGTTTACCCTTTTACGAGTGACGCTAAAGGCCACCGTAGCAACGACTGAAATGGTCAATCAAGAGTCTCGATTTCTGCTAGGAAGGAATTTCTTCATGGAGTGGACAAATTTGATTGGTGGTATTTAAAGTCACTCTCTTTTTACTTATAGCAATGATCAGTTCTGAAGAGTAGTTTGTTTCTCTCACCACGGTCAAGCTGTTTTTCGGAAATAGGTTAGTTAACTGTGGACTGAACTCTAAAGGCCACCATGTTAACAAGTGGAAAAACCGATAAGACTTCTGTATTATTTTAAGAAAATCAGCCTTTATAACAGAATAAGTGTAAAAGTTTGACACTGTGGTAGGATGTAATTCTATATTAGATTTGTTTATTGGATGTATATCACATACATCCAAAGGGTGACCCTAAAAGTCACTGGGACAATTAGTCATCTTTAAACGAGTCACTAGAAAGAAAAATATTACGAGATGATATTATTTAATAGTTTCACTACAGTTCCATAACAACAAGCATGGTTTACAGTAATAAATTACTAGTCAGTATTTATAGCCGTATCCAGTATTTATACCACTTCAAGCAGTCCAGAGTAGATAAAAGGTCAAATGTATTATTTTCGGAACACACGTCTGAATGTGTCCAAAGGACTTCTATCACCTTCAGTAACCGTTAGCTGAATTTACGTAGAAAAAATAAAAAACAATCTTTAGTAATGATTTCATGACCATTCATTAAGAAATGTTTCAGTGAATATTCTGAAAAGCTCGTAGAATATGTACCGGTTACACACTGGATTATGAAATACGACGCTTACCATCAGTTTTACAGATCAGCGGTTATCCTGAAAAGTTTAATGTATGCCACTCTAAACACTCAATCAATTTTTTTTCTATGATTATTATTATTATTATTACGATTATCGTACTCGATTAGGTTAGCTCTAATCTCTTATTTGTAACTTTAATCAGCTTTTCTCAGTATCTCTAGAACTCTCCCTCATATGTAGACACTTTTAACCATGTATTCTCGCAAGCAATTTGCTTTCACTCCTCTATGAATAATTTTTTAACTTCAGCTTTTAACAGTTTATCGCTCATTTATTAGTTTTAATATTTGCCGTAACTATTAGGCCGTCTGACGCTTATGATGAATACTGAGATAAAATGAGTTTATTTCATTTATCAGTCGTTATTTTTCTCGTCTTTCTCAAGTTTACCAAAGGAACAAAATACACGAGGTTTATGTGAAATGTATTTTTGTCATAGTACAGCACTAGTTAACCGGCTTATAAAAGTGTTTATTACTAACGGAAGTCTTGGCATAGCTAAAGATTACACTCCTAAAAATAAATGAAAAGTTGCTTCTTTATTAATGCTAAACACAGTTTTCTACATTGTAGATTGTTGTTTGAAAGGAATCCCACGAGCTGTAGATGAGCATCCACTGGAAGCTTTTACAACACTCATCCAATAACACAAGTGGTTATTCATCTCCCCTTAAAACCTTTCTGACACCAAGAGAAGTTAATTCCCACTATTAATTAAGACAGTCCTATAAACCGTACAAACAATGTGTTAGGTATTGAGTAAATCATCATTCCCCTGAATATAGAAGAGTAAATTTATTATCATTACCCAACACTGCTTCAAAAGCATCTACGAGTTAACTGTCGATCAAAATTTAAATGAAGAAATCACACTTTAGTTGCCTAAATTTCGCATCAAACTTTTGACTTTAAATAGGAACGGTGAAAGCCAGTAAACAATGGAAGCTGATCTCCGACAACCTTGACAACTCCATTCTGTCCTACCATCAGTTTATTGTTGATTGATCATAAAATATTTCGTTCAGAAAACCTAATAGTGATTTGTGAGAAAGCCTAGAATTATAGACAAGAAATCTGTTGAGTTATCAGACTCCTATTCACAAAACAGCTCATAAACGTCTGAAATGATCAAAACTTATCCTTCATTCTTTCTCTCCTTTAGCTTTACTTTTATCAGTTGGTATGAATAAAACTGTCTACAGATGATGATGTTCTACTTACCTACAGTACTTTTGAAAAACAAGCATTGTAAAAAAATAGAATGTCTTATTTTCCAAAAGAACATACACGAAACCAAAGTTCGAATACATTCTATTGATTATCTTCTCCGGTTACCGGGCGAATCCAGGGTTGTCATAGGCTGCAACACTTCTGTGTGAGGTGAAATAAGGAAAATACAATAGACTTTTTCCATAGTAACATCCTCCTTTAATTTGCTGTTGCTGTTGTAGATACTCTCCATTTGGTGCTGCAAACGAAAAGTCTTTACTGTTAGTATTTGTTACACTACTATTGGGTGTATGATTACTGTTACTTAAATGAGTTGAGTCTGCTGAAGCATCACATTCGCTTGGGGGTAAATATCCAGCTACAGATACTTTAAAGAGATCAAAATTTTGGTAAATGCATGGATAAGGTTTTTTATCAAAAAGTGTTGTTGGTTGGTTTAAAAACATTACAGGACTCAGAGCTTGACGCTTGCAAAATGAAGCAAATGAATCACATTCAGTTAGATGTTCAATTACACTAGGACGATTGTAAATTAGGAAAAATACTGGCCGGTAAGCACGATGTAAATGCTGACGCAACATTGCTGCACTGCTAGATGAGTGAATACGTCTTGATGGTAATTTAATTTTACTTTCTGGACTGTTTTCATTTGTGTTGTTGACTTCCCCATTTTCATGTGTACTTTGTGAATTGGAATCAGTAACTGATTCATCTGAGGATGGTGGATCAGGAATATTTCCAGGTTTTATTTTACTTTTTGATATAGTTGCATAATCAAAAGATGAAATTGTAAAGTATGAGCTCATTCTTTCATTCTGGTTAGCCTCAGATGACAGTGAACATTTTTCTGCCGTTGATGAACGAGTGATATCATCCATGTTATAGGTAGAATTTATACTTGATTCCACACTTTTCACATTGGTTAATAAAATCAAATTCCTGTAGCCATACACATCAGATCTGCTATAATCGCCATTTGGAGTGACTGTAGAGAGGAAGTGGGTTACAATGCTCAGGTTGTGGCAGTTTTCACCACCAACTTCATTATGTCTTAATCCGGGGAGTGTCCACATTTCACTTAATTTCCATGAAAACTGTTCCCAGTAACAGTCAGAGGTAAAGTCTTGACAGTTTTAGTGTGATTATTTGGTCGACACTCATTATCAAAAAGAATTAAGGGTGTCAGAGCTCGTGAATCAATTCCAGAAATCTTTTTTAATTTGATCGCTCTTATAACAACATCAGCTACGTAATCTGCTGCAGCATGTATTGAGGATAAATTTCTAAGCATTCCCAGTTGATATTCATAAATAATACAAAGTTGCTGAGCAAATCCTGAGAGAGAAGAGAACCTCTGAGATTCAGTAGTCTCTTCTAAAAGCTGGAATAAAGCACCTCTAAACTTGTTGGAAACGTTTCGCTCAAGTGGTGTTAGGGCTGGGCTTTGTACATTTGAATAACACTTTCTAGCTATGATAATGTCAGGTATTTTCTGTTTGCTCCTTACAAAATCACAAATTTCATCGTAGTCAGAGTGATTTTTGCCGATATAATCAAGTTTTTCATCTGGCGAGAGTAACGATCTGCGTTTATTGCTGTTACTGGTGAAAGACAATCGGCGAAATAGAGGTGAGTTTGTCAGTGAACGTATTTTCATCAAAGGTGACTGATTGGTGGGCTTGTGTTCTTATTCTGATTACTAACGTCACGATTAGAGTAGGAGTTTTCATTCTTCAAGCGCTTAATGTTATTGTTATTTTGACACTTTATTTGCTGATCAAGTAGCCGTCGAATCAATGGTAAGTCATTAGAAACATTCTCATTTTCAATACTCACTTTGGATATTGATAAGGTAGGCGATGAAATATTTGAAGATCCACAAGGACTCTGGACACAACTGTTTGATGTACATGAAACTCCTTGAATTAATTTACATTCAAATGATTTAATGAAGCGGTTAACAAACCACTTAAGATTTAACAAAACCTTTTCTCTATTTGGACATCGATTCATAATATTCTCCCAGAAGAGGGAGAAGCGTGAATGTATGAGGATATATATGTCCAATGATGAACATAGTGCTGATACTGACAGTATTAGCTACTGATGCATCTAAACGAAGTTGTTCATTGGTCAAAATTACACGTACAGATATTCATGTTTCACTCAATCAGGTTGAAAATAATACATATTTTGCCTTTTCGCCTAAATAATTTGGTTGTTGTAAATAAAATAAAATAATTACTTGGTTTTCCTTGCGTGAACTTTTTGCGCGAAATTTCAAACGTTCAAGGTCGAATGTGAACTTTCCGTCGTTATTCATTGTTTTTAGGTTACCTGTTTATAATGCCAGGAACAGTGAAAGTTAAGGTTTTGTCGGCTCGAAACCTGCCAGTTATGGACAGAGCTACGTTTCTTACAGACGCCTTTGTTGAAGTAACAAATAAGCTTTATAATACACGTTCTCTCGAATTTCACAGCTGTGCATCGGAAGCATCACTTACAAAACAGAAGTAGTCCGCCGATCCCTTAATCCTTCATGGAATAGTGACTGGTTCTGCTTCAAGGTAGTGGAGTATTATCAGTTAAATATTCTCTCAGTTAGATGATCAGGCTCTTCAAGAGGAAGCCTTATTGCTAAAGTTTGTCACATGGGATTGTAACATCTACTTTTTCAGGGTTATGGACCATGATACTTACAGTGCACATGACACAATTGGTCGGGTTTACTTCGACCTTAATCCTCTTTTAAGTCGTGGGCAGACAAGATGTTTGAATGGCTGGTTCCCTATCTATGATACAATGCATGGCATTCGTGGGGAAATATGTTTGGCTATCCGGGTAGATGTTTTCCTTGATGCCAGTCGCTACCATCAGTCTTCTCTTGAAGTGAGATTTTTCCATTGTAAGTTTATATTGCTGTTGTTTGCATTTTGCGTTTCCATACTTATGGTGTACATCTCTTTTTGTCATCGAAACAAACATCTCAGGTAATTCACCGCACTGATGACCACGTTTCAACAACTCTTACCAGTTTTTCTGGCTATCATTTGAAAGAATTTACGAAAACCGATATGTAATTTAGGATACTTGACGCACAGGTTTACAGTAGTATTTCAAGTTTCTAAACAAACCTATTGGCGTATCACTCCTGATTGAGACTAGTTCTTGTGGATGACGTAGTTGGCTCGGAGTGTTCGAAACTGACATTTACATCTGAACACTAGGTATTGCCTTAAGGGACGCTGAATACAGCTACTCGATTTATTTGGTTCAATTTGCATGTTTCTGTTTATAATGTCTGCTATCATAAGACAATAGGTTCAGGCCCAATCAATTTTAGTCCTAAACATTGAAGACTAACTACATTTACAATCCAGTTTCGTTTTCATCGAGTCTATTCACTTTCAGGCCTCAACACTATCCGCATGATGTGCTTTGTTTCAGTGCAAGCTATATACTAATTCCCTTAGTAAAATTAAACATAGGCTTTACCGAGTAGTTACTCTAAAGCATAAGCCAACTTATAATTTTCCTTCGTACATGATACCTGACTAAAGATATTCCTTGGTTTAATTCCCTAATCGTCAGACTTTCTCGGGGATTTTTATATGCAAAGCCAATTGTCATTCGTAAGAATTCAGTAGTAAGGATAGTAAGCCGGTTCTCTTATGTTATCCTTTGTAGTGGGTATCTCTGTGAAGATCTCGTTTCTTCTTAAACGCACCAATCCAAAGAGGTGATACCACTTGCCGAAGTAAGGAGTTCCAGTCGTTGACCACGTGTTGGGAGATAACCAGTTCTAGCAGGAGAAACAATATAAGGCTTATCAGTACTGAAGTTCTTAGTAAGAATACAAAGTGCCAATTACAGACCATCCTTTTTCTTATAACAAGATAGTGGTAGTCAAATTCAGTTGACTTAATCGTTTCTCACATGGAAGATTGGAAAGGCCAGTCACAAGTTTAGATTCTACCCTTTAAACAAGCTCAATTGCGTCGACATCTTTTTAAAGCATGAATTGGCTACTTAAATGTGGTATTCTTAGTAAGTTCTTAAGTATGCAGAACCAAGTTTCCTGGACTTATTTTCGTCAGAGCTTTTAGAAGCTGTGCACAGGAACCTTTACATGCGGGTACGCTTCTCTGCACATGCATTGCAATGAACCAACGTTTCCAGATCGTAGCTCATGACGGCACATAAGTCTTTTAGTTCTAAAACTGAGGGTAGTCGTGCGCCGTCACTAGAATGCTGGAAATATATACTATGACTAGTATGTATTATTACGCTTCTGCTAGAGTTGATTTACAGGCACCAACGTTTGGACTAACATGTGAGTTCATCCAAGTTCACTTGAAGTGTATATCTATGAGCATCACTCCGTATTTCTCTCTCGACTTTTATATCATCCATAAATAGGAACACGGAAGAGTTGGGCATTCCCAGTAATCCCTTGACACATCAGTAAAATGAGGAGACCTAGGATCATTCCTTTAGAAACTGCACCTTCTTTTTATTACCATTTTCCCTTTTGTCTTTATCTCCACTTCACTCAGCCGCTGTCCATTGCTTAGACTTCTGATATGTCTGTGTCGTTTTGAGTCTCTAAACAGTTGCTTCCAGTACAACATAGATAGATCATATTGCAGTCAACTACCGATGGTGTACGTGCATACAGGACTGCCACCCCATACAGAGTACTTGTATGGGCCCTGAACATGCTATAGTGTGTGCCACTATCGTCTTACGTTTTCGTTACCATCAAAATTTCAGTTCTAAACAGGAAAATGCACCTAACATCTCAATTAAATGCCAACCCGAGCTGGATACAGGGTTAACTAACGATCCTCCAGAAAGTGTAGACGAACATTTACTGTACTTACAAGATGCTATGAAAATGGCAAGTAGATCCGTTTGCGGCTTGGAACAACATCCAGCTAATAAATACTGGATTTCTGCGAGCTCCCTGCAACTTCCCGACGACCATCGGACCATTCCAGTGGATGGCGAGTACCACAGTTTGTGCAAGTCTCTTACCCGAAAGATTACACAACGGTCGCTCAAAGCCCAGCGGTCAGAAAGCACGAGTGAGATGGAAATGGTAGTCACATCTTGTGATAGTCGGAAGTTGTTCCGACTCATCTGAGCCACTGGCAGCAAATAGTCTGGTGTCAATGAGACGAATTATCTATCAGTGTTGGGTAGTGACTATCAGTGGAATCCAGGACGCGCGTTTCGTCCTATGTTCGGTTCACTCAGCGACGGGACAGTACAAGCAACAACATTAATCCTCAAAGACTTCTTGGACGCTGAGCACTTCAAAAAGCATTTTAGCTGGCCCACTGCTCCAGCAACTTCAGTTTCAGTGTATGATACTCCATGGTCAGTGAGTAATTATCTTACTAATGAAGTGGAGGTCCATAAGGAACTCTTAGTTCTGAAACGCCACAAGGCACCCGGCCCGGACAACTTACCCCGGTTCTTTTTAAGGATGTGGACTGTAGTCAGGGGACTGGCTAGATTGTTTGAGTAAGTACGGTTGACTGAGAGTGTTCCATCATTCAGAAACAAAGTCATCGTTTTTGCCATTTTTAAAAAGAGCGTATGCAGTGTATGTGGCAATCTTCTATGTACTAGTCGCGTCGAAAATATTGGCTGCTATCATACTTCTTAAAATGCCGAAGGGAATGATTCACTAGGAGCAGGCTAGGTTTCTTTCAGGTCCTTGATGTATTGATCACGTGTTTACCCTCTGCCAATGCTTGAACATCCCCGGAAGTATCACAGATCAACAATCGCGTTTCTTGAAATAGTTTTGGAACTTTCATCCCTTTTTTCTTCTCACTGTTTGGAGAGGTTTTTATTTGTTCTCCTACAAGTCACCGGTTAATTTATGTCTTCTTTTTATATTACACATACTGCATTTTGATTCGAAGCACGTTAAAGCTGATAACATCCTCATTTCGCACATATACATTATTGTAAAAAGCTCAAATATCCTTCACTTGGTGCACAAACCTCCATCCTAAAGTCCTTGCATACAAGAAATTCTAACCAGTAACATCTTTATGTTTTTACGTATTCACATAGGTTCGCATTTTTTCAGAAGCTATTGAAACTTGGTACTAGAACTACTCAGTTTTCTATAATTCACCTTTCCTAGTAATCTGCTTTTCCTTACTTCTGCTGATTGTCACTAATTACTCATTTTTGGCTTGTGGATTCCCATTGTAAAAACCATGAAGCATCTCCTAAAGGTTATTTATATTTTAAGTCTCCATAATTTTGCTTAAAGAGATGAGGTTATCAGCGTAGTTGGTACCTCTGACTATATTAGCTTACCATGTATTATTTCTATCAAAATGAATACCTTACAATCAAAGAATATGAGCTATAAAAATTACTTCAGACTAGCTGACACTTCAAAATGCTACTTATTCTTAGTCATATACTCTCCTTGTTAACAAGTAATATGCAACTGCAGATGTATTTCAGCAGCCTGGCTTTATTTTAAGTTGTGATAAAAATGAACGTTAACTCAGCACAAGTTGATCAGTATTTGTTCTTTTGAAATTCTGAAGGTTGTTTATCCTAAGCCTCGTTTCACAATGGGTTGAATGGTTAACAGTGGTATTCTGACAACACGGGTTATCATGATTTCAAAGAAAAAATTTACATCTCTGCATTTCACTAATAATCTTAGTAGTTGTTATTTAGGTATAACCCAGTTCTATCATTGTCTTTGCCCTCATGTAAACGGTGGTTATTTTTCAGAGTAAAAATGTTATAGAAATTTGGGGGAACTATGAATCTTTTCTATTGATTTTAGTAGCTGTTGCTTCGTCCATCATTACAAAGCAATGTACACAGAGTGGTAGATGAAACATTTACTTCATTGTCTATTTAAAGGCCCACGTAAAGCAAAGATTAACCAGCTACCTGATTTGGTCTTCGTTTTGGTGATTATCAGATTGTTTTCTATTGCGATAGGTAACTTTAAAGTCAATCAGTTGTATACATGGAATGCAATCAAATAATCCTTTCGCGCCAGGCTGAGAACTCTACCACAAAGTTTATTTGTAAATTGTGATTGAAATATAATCTTCTGTGAAGCAACCCCAACTGTAGACTTGCAGAATGGATAAGTGTTTGATCATTTAAGTACTTACAGTCACTCAGAGCTATACTGTTTGGCAGTAAAAGACTAACTGGAAGTCCAAACAGGATTATGACGGTTTTCTATTCTCTAAGCTTCTCTATTTTAATCGTGAACTTCTTATCACTAGGTTTCTTAAACGTCCATCATTTCAAGCTAAATAGGACTCAAATCATATCAAACAATTTAAACGATCAACTTCTCTACCGTTTCGGCAGGAAGTGCATTCACAGAATCCCCACTGGTTTCATGTGAATTCATTTAAGAGTAGTCTTTATATCTGTTGGTTGATACGCTCGTTACTAACCTTGGCAAACTCAAAACTGTTTTGAAAACTACGACCTCAACATCATAGACTTTGCCACTTGGTGAAAATATAATTCGATGGTCATTGTATTCGGCAACCAACCACCAGTTGAAAAGTTGATCCGCACTTAGCGCTTAGTAACTGATTATGACTGATATCCTGAGTTGCAGTATTTCATGTTGCCTTCCTTGTTTTTCATTGTGATTTCTATGAATTAAACTGTGCTCATCGCAAGCTATGACACCTCCAAGCAAGTTTTAGTCAAGGAAGTCTGTCAAAAACAGATAAGTGAGGTTTAAACGCCTAAGTTAGTTATACCTAGCCGTCAGTATATCTTCCAATTGTCTACTGTTACAAGACTTGCTATTTTAAGTGGCTTCGAGTGTCAAGGAACTTGGAGTATTCCGATAAGAAATTATTGGATCACTTGTTTTGATTTGAAAGTGATCTTAGTTCCAGGATGAAGCGAAACAGTAATTAGTTTGACCTTATATCACCCGCAGTTTTTCGGTCCTCTCTATATTTCTTTTGATAATATTCTTCTCGACTTTCACTTGCTGATATATATATTGAATCCTTCTTGTATTTCGTTGTATGTCGAAACTCGCAGCACCTCGTGCTTCATTTAGGTTCTTCGTTAAAAGAATTGAGCTACTATATTTTTTTCAAAGCGATTCATTTCAGAATCATTTTTCATCTATGCATTAATATATAAGTTACCATTTTGACAGTTCTTTCACCTGATTGTTTTCAACACTTCACTGTTCCATTCTCATAGTCTTCATCTTTTTATCAATTCATTAAAAATGCAGTTTTTCAACTTGTTACCCGCTCAAGCATTTTTGTCTAACTAGTCGTGAACTTCATCCTCTTATATTATCTCAGTGTCACTTGTAGACTGTTTAGCTACCAACTTTATTTTTCTTAGTCTCTCGCATGATTATAGTAATTATTTTTGACTGTACTATCTTCAATATGTTGAAGCGAATGTTTAGAAACAAACACGTTATTTCACGTCTCCCAATATGAGTTAGTACCTTCACGTTTTGACTATTTGACAGTGTTCAGGTTAATCAAACATAACTTAATAAATTTTGATCCTTCCGGGTAGGTTGTACTATTCCACAAGGATTTGTGATTGATTCATTAATTGGTTTTATTCAAGAACTAGTGATGAACTACGACCCCGAACATCAGTGGATAGAAAAAATACGCACATCACGGGCATCTAACGAAGCTAGACAGCGTTTGTTCAGCCGTTTGAGTGGTAAGTCTGTCGAATATTTGTTTTTCACTTATTGAAATCACATTAGGTTGCCTTCTGATTGAGTTTTGCTGGTTAGGTAAGGTAAACAGTCGTATAATAAAATGTGTTGGATTCTGACTTTGAACGGGTTTAATGTAAGCTTTCTTTCACCATCCCTTTTGTTGTCAGGTAGATATCACCAGGGTGTTTGCTTGTGCTTCATGATCCTATAGGGTTGGTTTTGATAATAGTTGTTCATTTACTGAGCTGTCATATTAGATCTTACAGGTTCCATTGCTAGCATCATCACAAGCACCTCTACACTTATAATCCTCATCATGAGCTGTAGGTTTTGTGTAGTACTGCTGAAGTGGTAATGCCACGAAATATTCGTAATATTTTGGTGTTAGATTTATAGTTTTCCATTTGGGTGAGCGGTTAATTTTAAACATTTAAAGCTGTCAGGTGTCATCATCCTCTCACCAGTCATCTTAATAATACCTTAGTGGTATGAAAATTGCTTGATTGGACTTTCACTTCTCCTCTTTTTCGAATACCTGATTCTTGATTTTGTTGGTACCGGTTAATGTTTTGGTGATGCTACTCGATAGTTTTGCTACACTTTCTTCTTTTATCACATCATATATTCCGACACAATGCACTTCCTCTCTTCTGGACATTATTATTATGATATTATTTATCCCTTAGTTTCCTGATGGAACATAGGGCTTGAGTAGCACATCTCCAGTGAACTCTGTTCTCTGAAATCTTTTGAACCTGGCTTCACGACAGCCCACAAGCTCTCATTTCCTCCTCACAAGATCTCCTCCATGTCACCCTCCGCACCGACACCCAACTTGTTGCTTCCCATCGGGCTCCCAGTCAACAACCTGGCGAGTGATGTCCCCAGTCGGCCTTCTCAGTGCATGCCCAATCCATCTCCACTTCCTTCTGCATATCTGTTGAGTGATAGGTTCTTAGTTGGTTCACTGCTAGTCAGAGTCCCTTGTTGCTTATTCTTATTATTCTGGCCATCTGATCTTCAGTAACGAGCCAGCGTAGGCAGTTGTTAATGAGTGTCTTTAGTTTGTTGGAAATCCCTTTCATAACGCACCGAGTCTCTGAATCATCACATGGAAGCACTGACTTGACTGAATTGGTGTTGGAAATCGGCATCTTGTTCACGCTTTGTGCTGAGTGCAGAAGATCTCCAGGCTGGTTTCAGGCTAGTGAAAGCCTGTCATGCTGTCTTTCCGATCCTGGCTTTGACACCCTCGTCTGTGCCGCCTGTAGTCGAAACAGTGCTGCCTAGATAGGTGAAAGAGGCTACTTCCTTTAAGTTTCTCCCGTTGATGGTGATTGGAGCTTGTTGTTGTTGTTGGTGGTGTTGGTTGGGTATCTTCATCACCTCTGTCTTCTCTATATTCATTTGAAGTCCCGTCTTCGCTGCCTGGCCTCTTCTGACAACTTGTTAGTTTTCGCCTGTAGTCCTTCAAGTTTATGCAACAAGACATCAGACACAAGTCATCGGCGAAATCCAAATCTTCTATGTTCTTTTCCGCGGTCCAGCCAGTGTATCCCCTTCTTCTCGCTCCTCACAGTTTGTCGCATGATCCAGTCCACTATAATCAGGAATATCATGGGTGATAGTAGACAGCCTTGTTTTACTCCTTCCTGCCTTTACTTCGAAAGCATCACTGAGCTTCCCATTGTGAATTACTTGGTATGTGGTGTCTTCATATAGCTGTTGTTGAATGAGATTGATAAAGGTTCGTGGTATTTTGTAGTGTTGAAGCAACTGCCAAATTACTTGTCGGTCGACGCTGTCGAAGGCCTTTTCAAAGTCGATGAAGTTGAGATAGAGAGTTGACTGGCATTCTATGCTCTGTTCTATGATGATGCGTAGCGTAGCGTTGCAATTTGGTCCGTACATGATTTGTACTTCCTGAAGCCTGCCTGTTTCGGTCGTAGTTTTGAATCCAGTGCATGCTTTAGTCTCTCCAAGATGATGCGGCCTAAGATTTTGCTTGGAGTGGACAGGAGAGCGATTCCGCACCAGTTCTTGCAAACACTGAGGTCTTCCTTCTTTGGAAGTTTGACAAGGTATCCCTTCTTCCAATCTGCAGTTACCTTCCCTTCCTTCGACACCTTCTGCAATAGTGGTGTGAGCATGTCCGCTGTTGTCTGTGCGTCTGTTCTCAGTGGTTCTGGCGGGATTTCATCTGGTCCTGCTGCTTTGCTGCATTTCAGTAGCTTTATGGCATTCAGGACTTCGACTTTTGTTAGAGGATTTATGTTCACTTGTAGTTCTGTGGCTGGGCTGCAGGTGGTATTTCTGGATGAAGTGCAGGTGGTGGTCGATTCAAGAGCTTTTTGAAGTGGTCTGCTTATCGTTTCCTTTGTTTCTCCTCTTTGGTAATTAAATTTCCGTCATCATCTCTTATTGATCTCATGTGTGTTGATCTCTTCCCTTGTTATTTGATACAATGTTGTCAGGTCTCTCTTACCTGTAGCCTGTTGTGCTTCACCTACCAGTGTGTCTTCTGGACATTAGGACAGTTTTGTTAACCCTCATAAAAGTGTAAGCCATGACCTGGTAATTTAACATTCAGCTGCATTATTTCTTTCTGATTACTAAGTTCTATATTATACTAAGTTTCCATTAATTATTAACCTACCTAAGCATTATGGTTTATCTAGAACTTACTGTTTCAAGTAAGTAATAAGTTTGTATCAATAACTCTACTCATATCATCAGTTTTGTGTACGTCAGTTTATGCTGTAGAATCGGCTCTCAGTTTACGAGAAAGGTTCAAGATGTTGACGCTGAAATATAATGGTTATTTACTAACCAACTGTATAAAAATGGATTATGAATTTTTTAGGAGATATCTATAGCTTAGGAAAATCGACTGGTAGATTGCTATTTTCTTGATCTGTTGACGACAATTGTCTCGTTTTTCCCCGAAATGACAGTTATTATACAATTACGCGATGCATTACATTTCTATTTTAATTACTTATCTGTCTTTTTTTATTACTGCTATTTGTTTTTCACCTGTCGTTTATTGTTACTGTGTTCTCTTTTTAATGTATGTGAAATCAACAATGTGCTTAGCCAGGAGTACTAATTGTTATAATATTATCCGAGATTTATATCTATACTTTGAATTAATTCCCATCCAGTCTTAAAATGTCAATGATTTTCTAACACTGTCAGTAAAGTGGACAGGTTACAGTGAACAACCCATTCTTTGTAGAAGTATTGATTAATCACCTAAATATTAACATTCTTATTATTTCGCTTAAGTATTTATAACTTACTGTATAAATATATCTACATAATGATGTATATTTATACTCCTTACTATTACTGATACTATCTTATTTCGCAAGTTACCTCTTTTATCTACCCAATAATTGCCTTTATTCTTGTTTGAAGCTAGGTTTAGTTTGTTAAATCACCTGTCATCCCTATATATCCCTATATTATTGCTTTTTTTTATCCCTTTTACTAAAAATATTAACTTGTTTCAGCTTTACTGTAATTTAGCAGTAGTAATTTACTAGAAATAAAAATATATCCCTAGCAGCGTTAGTATCATGTTTTGGGTTTTGAGTTGTGATCCTCCTCTACAGCATTATATACTTGGATATTTTTATTTATTATTGAACTTCAACAACAACTCCGCACAATACTGGGCCCAAGAAATGTCTCCTGCTAAGTGAGTTGCTTGGCGGCTGCAATATTCTCTGTTCACCCAGACCGGAAAAGGCAGCGGTTGTCTTGGCCGAATACTCATCGATCTCTTGAAAATAGATCTGATTCACCAAATGTATGAACAACTTCAATTATTGTGCTCTCATAGTTGATAGTGACCAAAGTTATTTTATTCCCTATTTGCTCCTCTAAGGTTCTGGAGTCCATATACGCCACTAGTTTAGAGTACTGACTTCCTAACTCCTATAAATGTCACTTCTGTGTCCAGCAATGCATTAGAAACCCCCCCTGACATTTACTTTGACCCCTTTTACTTTTATAAAAATGTCCTCGCTATATGAGGAGGTAAAACCAATAAATATTTGGCCTTTTGGAGATATTTCTTCTAAAAAAAATAGATTTTTATCACCTTCCACTATTCTACAGCTGCAGGACTCTTAAAACGATTAACTTTTTTTAGTACTAAACATTTCTAACAACAGCGTATCAGCATTTTATTTTTCGAAAGCAATATTTAATTCCTCTCCCACTTCCGGGCTATAGATTAGTATACTTTCCTGTTTAACAGCCGACCTCTTGCGCTTTCTTTTTTTAATTGGAGCAATTTTCTGTGAAATTGGCATGAGGTGAACACTCAATTCCCAAGGATACGAAGCAACAATTGGCTGTAAATGGATATGAGGTACGCTGCCAGACTTGTGTAATATTTAGATACACTTACTAGAAAGATGTTAGTTTACTCTCAAGCTTTTCTTAAAGCAGTTTAACTGGGCATCCATAGCTATACTGGATCTCGCTCACTTCACATGGCTGCGGATTTCAAGGGCTGATGTGTTGTAGACGATAAATACCCCCTTATTTCTAACTCAATCCTTTTCAAAATACCTTTTGCATCTCCTGTGCTAAGTAGGTAGGTCGATAAAGTTGAGTTTACGTATATGTTCTACATAACATCTCAAAAACTGATACTAAATGAATTACAGGAGGTTCAAAACAAATACCAACACCAGTTGCACTGCTACATATTCAGATGTACTTTGTTTGTAGACTTTCACTCCTAAGTAGATGTTGTAAGAATATTTCAGACTACCGAAGTCTACTCAGCATTTAGTTCTGATTGTGAAAAAGTGATTTCATTGTGAAAGTTGTTTATTTTTTCCATGATCGATATTTTGTGTTTATCTTATTTAGGAGAATTGCAACGAAAAATGGGCCTCAAAGTCCTGAATCTAGGTGGGAATTCTTTAATTGGGTATGTTTGTACGCATACTTTCCATGTTTTAAACTATGTCGTAAACATGATCTCGCAACAAACTCTTCAACCCTTGGTTGATTAGTTACGGCGAAACCGAACCCATATGTCTTTGTTTGCTCCTGCTTTTCAGGTATACCTGATACGAGTTGACAATTTTCTATCGTTCTGCTAACATTACCGACATGAGTGATTATCAACGAAATGGTTCACGAGTTTGAAGCAGTTCTTTTGATGAATTTGCATAGTGCGATAAGAAGACGAATGGTATCTGAGATATGTGATGTATTTGCGCAATACATTTCGAACAATATGACCACACATTAACTTGTCAAGTCATTTTATATAAAGGGTGAAAATAGAGTAGGATAAGAACCCAACGCATCTGCACAACAGACATTGGAAAAGAATCCAAATTTTTAACAGAAACACTCATGGAAAACGTTTTTCACTTATATTAAAGAAAACGTATATTCTCTGAAGTTCATCAGTCGTTATGAAAACGTCTCAACGGTCCAAACTAATCAGTATTCTTCCCCGAAGAAGGATATTTACATCACGCTACCGTATGAGGGAATCAAACAGCATGATCTTAAGACGAAGACTTAAGTCAGTTATTAAAAAGACGTACTACATGACCAAGTTCAATATTGTCGAGAAAATGAAATTTATACTTCAAAATAAACGTGATCACTTCACAAATGAATGCTTCATATCCCGCTGTGTATACTAATTTACATGTGTATTTGGTGGCATATGCATTTAGAGAAGTAGTCTAACTATGAAGTCGAGGGTGGTGGAGGTTATCCCTAAATGATTTGAAAAACAATTACATTCAAATAGTCCGATAAAAACAGGGGGCAGATAGACATCATCGTCGATAGGTAAATATATTATAGAAACAGGTCACAGGATTGACCCCAAAACAGCCTTTAGGTCATTTCGATAGCGTAATTAGGAGACGAAGTTTATCTGAACAATGTGATGTATTTTTGCAATACATTTTGAACAATCTGATCACACATTCATTTGTGAAGTCAATGTCTATTAAACCGAGGAGTGGGAGGACAAATACAACAATTAACACAATAGGGGATTAAAATTAAGAAAGACGGGAACAAACTGGAAGTGACCTAGTTTATCATAACCTTGGTAAGTTTACTAAGGTAGGTGTAGTATAAGGACATATTGTTTTTGTACACATAAAGGTGGTTTCAATTTGTGTATGGCCATAGCTTCCGCAAATTTCAGTATACGTCCCTGATTGTTTCTATATAAAAACTTAGAAAGCTGTTTGAACATTAACTTTATGACCTGTTTACCAATTTACATGTGTGTGGTCACACATACGTAGGGAGGAGTAAATCGAGTCATGCAGTTGAAGATGGGAGAACATATACCTAAAAACAGTGTGTCCTTACCTTAAACCTACCTGGGTAGTCTTTATCTCATTTTAATGCCAAGGGAGTTGTGAAAATGTATTATGTCTCCTTATTATCCCATATCTTCCAAATCTTGTATTATCTCAGTTTATTTATTTTACCTCACCCTATTTTCATCCTTTATATAAAATGACTTGACAAGTTAATGTGTGGTCATATTGTTCGAAATGTATTGCGCAAATACATCACATATCTCAGATACCATTCTTCTTATAACACTATATAAAAGTGGTTCACGGGCACAGGGTTCTTTATCAGTATACAAAAGAATAAGTCGAAGGCTACATAACAATGAACAGTCAATACTCACAAAACTGCAGAATATTTTGACCTGCTATTATCTTTCGAGTTAATATGCAATCAACAGTTTGTCTTTTTCTAACGCCTCGTAAATATGTATAATTGCCGGTCAAGAGCCTGGACGCCCGATACTACTCTAAAACACTATGTAAATCTCATACCTTTTATTGTATCAGATCAGGTTGGATATTTTGAGATGACTGTACAGTTAATATTGCTTAGCAGTGGATAATATGTAGTCACTTTAACTGAGCACTTGTGTTGACCTTTTAAATGAGTACAAATTCTCGTTAACTCTTTCTCCAACTTCTGTTCATTTACCTGTGCATGCCTTTTTCAACAGCTGCTTATTATTTTGCAGACGTGAATGTCAATTTCCTCAATCAATATCGTTTCATATTTCTTAGCTGTTATGTTTCTTCATCTACTTATATGCAGATATCAACTCCATTTTGACTTAGAAGGTGAAACAGGCGTAGTTGTTCGTGGAATAGGAACAGCTGTTCGTTTAAAGAAGTATAATCCAGTTACAACACCGCCCAACAGTCCAACAGGAACACCGAAGTATGTAGACAGCTTTATTTATACTTTATTTTAATACCCACCTTTATTTCACACAAATATTACTGTCTTCGTAAACCTCCAACACAATCCTCTTGACGTATCCCTTGGTCCATCAACAAAACATCCCTTCCAATCATAGTTTGTTGTACATGTAGAAATTAGTACTTGCGAAACTCATGGACTAGTGCAGGTTCATGTGTATAATTGTGAACAATATCTAATAAGGTGAATGAAACTACCCTGCCGCCTAAATATTGGTAAATGGATCAACTCTCAAACCCAAATATCCATTCACAGTTTTACCGAAGTTTGTCGTTACTAGTGTGTGGTATATGTGTTCGAGATTCACTTACATCTTTCACAGATTTTTTCGCAAAACCTATATGTGTGTTCTGAAACACCACCAATCTGAAACTTGGTTTTTTGGATTATTCACAATTTAGCATGCATCTGATTGAAAATAAGTCTGATCCCTTGATTCGTAATCTGCTTGATTTGCATTGAGATAGTTTGTAGTGCATCAATTTTGTGCAAATGTATTGAGTTTGTGAATGGGACAGTCGTACAGTCTTTCCGAAAACTAATATAAGTGAATATGAGGTTAACTGTCTCCAAAGTTTCCTTTTTATACATTTGGTTAGTGTTTTGAACTCATCTTGACTTAGTATGATTCGGCCTTTGGATAGCCCCGTCCACCTTCACATATAGGTTAGTATCGACATCTTTTACTTGAGGATATATTCCTGTGGCAAGTTACATTCATTTATTTCTATTCCTTTCAACTTAATCTCCCGAACTATCAACCGGAATTCCGTGTGTTTTGGGAATTAATATATAACCATTTCGACTATATCTAGTTTATATCCACCAGACATTTGTATTTCCTCTTTTGTTCCTGTCATCCTTAATCGCAAACTTATTTAAATTCCTTAGAAATACTTCACTTCATCGGGAATCACCTACTGTACACAAAGAATGTATTCCAGAAAGTGAGTTACTTTAAATATTTATTTTTATGGAAAAATATACCGCAGCTAAATATCTTCATTATTAACCACTAAGTTCCTTTATTCCAATAAGACGGGTATTCTGATCTAATCACAGTGGGAAGTGGTAATGGTGTTTTTTTTATTTAAAAAATATCCTTCCAACGTATACTGCACCTTTTCTTTTAACCCTGCTTATTAGATTCAGTTACTTAAAGAATTAAATCTTCTAAGCAGCATTTCGTTAGGCATAACTCTGATAAAGTCGAGTTCAGATGATCAAGACAGTCATCTATTGCTCTTATCATTCCAATTTAGTTTTGAAATTCGATAACCTGTATGTTTATTATTCAACTATTCATATCTTTTAGAAGGGTATTCCTTCACATCATGTTATCAGTCTGCCGTCTGTCTGAAAAAATTCGGGCTGACAGTAAACGGCTGACTTAGGTTGAACTTAGCTTTGAAAAATGCCCCATTGCTTTCTCATATATAAAACCCAAGTCTTTATGGGAATAGATTAAGCATTTAATCTATGTTTCAAGCCTAGTTACTAGGTTTTACCTTATGATTGCTATATTTTAAAAGTGCGGTATCAAAGATAAGTAGTAAGTAGTTCGAAAACTTTCTTATTAATTTTTTGCTTCCCAGTTCAGTTGGTAATCTTTCATTAGTTTACTGCCTTGAAACCGCATTTATTGAAAATGAGCAAAAGTTATAAACCAAACCTCTAACATTATTTCCATATTGCAAGCCTTTGATTTCCTCGATTCAATATTCCTTACAGTTTTAATCGAATTTTCTATCGTTATAGGTTATAGTTTTCTGTGGCTAGTTCGATTGAATCAATCGGCCATTATTAACATATGGGCTCCTGTACGGATATCTTTGCATTTGCTAGTAATTTCAATTTTAAATTTATAGGAGACAGTGGCTAGCTGTGGAATGCCTACTGTGAGCATATTCTCATTTGAGAATCGTCTGCTAGATTTACCTTTTACAAACATATACAATCAGCTAAATGAAAAAATTATCGGCAGTATCGAGACAGCCATCTAGAAGTCTGTATATCAATAGGGGACGATTAGTTCGGTCTATTAGACAACAGAAGGCTGAAACCTATAGCATTAAAATATACTCCTTGGACAAACGGTTCACACTGTAACCCAGTGACATAACGCTCTGGCGTTTTAAAACGACAGTTGGCGACTTTGAGTCTTGGGAGTTACAACACCACTTATCAAGAGGCAGATACATCCAGCTACTAAGTCCCAATTATGAATGAAATTCGTATCGTACATTTTGCTGCTAGCCACCATCGATGATTAAACTGTTTTTATAGTATTTTAACTGCTTCAGCATTCTAAGAAATACATGAGTAACCTTAATCATCTGCTTATCCATCAACCTACAGTTTTCTACAGCCATGTATTGAATTATTTGAATTCGTATTTATGTGAAATTATGACAATTAATGAATACTCTAGATGACATTCTCTCTTTTTATATCAAGGAAATAGCCTTGTACCCTTTTATCTGATAACCTACTAGTTCAATATTCGCAAATGATCCAGCCGTATGCTGTTGATGTTATCTTATTCCTGAAGATATAGTTCATTGGCTCCGACACTCACTTTAAGGAATTAATTCATATCAATCCTCGTCAGTTTTTAGCTACACATTTGACGCACTTCTTCATGAATCTATAACAGGTCCCTTCAACGTGTTGTGACTCACTTCACTAGTTTAATTGATTTGTGGTCAGAATTAACCATGTAGCGTAGAAGTGTTGTTTTGGAAAAGTGTGTTACCTGACTTGTGAATGAATTTAATTCATTTTAACTTTATTTGTTTAAATTTTGTCTCTATACTCCTAAGGTGCACATAGTTTTCCTCTGCATGCTCCTCAATCTCTGGACCTGGGAGTAAGTTTTATTGATTTATTTGTTTTCCCTCAAGTTAAAATGCTTTGAAAATAATAAATCCAATATATCTGTTTGTTAGACGACTGTTTTTCATATTATCGACTAAAGGAATACATTTTTATTCGATTATATAGTTCATCTCAGCCCTTTTAAATCTTGATTAGACCCCTACGTTTCATTTCAGGAATTTTTAAACCTAATTTATGTATTAATCTTAATTTCGTTAACTTCGAAAATGTCCAGTATCTCCCTCTGTAAAACAATGCGGCATACACCTCTATGAATTTGTTTTAATGTTGCTAGTTGAGTAAAGTGTTATGTTGGCAGATATAGAATCATATATGGATCTAAGCAAATCCGTACTTTTTAGTCAAAATTCCAAATTGTTTATTAGCTGATATGCAATGCTAGACGTCGCTACGTTCATTGCTTCCATAGAGATCCACTTGGTGAATCAAAGCCCAGTGTCGCCACTTTACAAGTGGGGCTAATATCTGATGTCTCAGCAATAATATTGACCTAACAAAGGATAAATGTGAGCAGTAATCACTCACAAGTGATTCCTAGTAATTAAGGTTATATAATAATCATGAAAATGAGCGATTTCATGCCCTTTTTTTATTATCAGTAGCGGAAATATATTGAAAATCCCACCACAGGCCTTCACGCCTGCCTGTCAAAGTTTATCCACACCGTTATCTGCTCTCGAAGACTTGCTTAGGCTAACTCCATTAATGTGATATTTTTATGTATCGCATTAGCGAACGAAATCTTGTGCATTCTTTACGTTGATGGTTTCAGAAAATCTGTTCTGAAGATACATCAGATAGTGAGCTAAGATTTCTATGTAACATCCCTCTATTAAATGACTATCCACTTGAATTAACTAGTTCTAAAGTGAAAAAAAAATCCACAGTTACAAGTTATCGACTATCTCAAAAATGAACCTGGAATTCAAAGGCACCACTGTATCTGAAATCCTTGAAAGTCTCATATCATGGTCTTCGGGTGAGGCACGTCAAGGAGATAGGTTAATTATCACATTTTCCAGCAGATGATTAATCCTTTAATGCGTTGATGGGGAGAATAACGTTTTCTACCACCTGTATATGCATCTATCAGTTTACTTGCACCTGTGGAGCAACGTGCATTGTCCATATACAGCATCAGTTCAATAAACATGTTTTTGAAAATCATCCAGCTTGTTTAACTAAAAGAAGGAGAAGGAATATCAACAGTTCTTTTCTTGAACATCTCATCACCGAGCAGCTAGTCTTTCCTAGTAGCCCATTCAAAATTATTTACAGAGTTTTCCCCTACAACTTCAAAGGACCTCGACTACATTATCTACACATAACCATATCACTGGTAATTCACAGCCTTAAACCTTATCTTTCTGTTCGAAAATACTACATGCATTCATTCATTTGCCATGACCAGGGTCTTAATTCCCTTCTTCCTTTAAAAACAACATTGTTACTGTATTCCTGAACATCATAGTAATAACGGTGTTAAATACTATTGTACAATTTTAGTAGATGAAGTCGTGGTAACGGAAATATTCTTCGCTGTTGGGTCTTCATTCCATTACTTTTCTTATTCCGTTTGTCTATTGTTGCACTTTTTCATTCCATTTAAATTCATCCATTAGACATTAAGTACTTATGATGTGATCATGATGTATGAACTTCAAATTGCTGTACAAGAATATACCTTTGTAATTCATCAGTTTAAAACTAATATCTAATCTTTATTGGACCACGTTTCTCTTATGCCAGATCAACTAACTGGGCTTTTTAATAGACCCTAATCATTTCTTTACTTGTTCCTCTTGCTCCAGATGTTTGAGCGTACACTTTATTCCGTATGACTGACTGACTAAATCAACGTAAATCCTGGCACTCAGGTGCCACACCAAACCAGTATACAAAGAACAGATGGATGGAAAAAAACTAATATCAAAGTAGACGAATTTGTGTGAGAGAATAAACCATTTGAAAATAAAGGTTAGTGCAAATATGCAATCTTCAGAAGACACCAATGAGTGATTAAATCTGTGTCATTGTGACTGATTTTCAGTCATGTCACCTATAGTCTTCAACTACTGTTTCCTTTCGTCTCGGGGACCCCATCCAGGCAGTCTACTTCTCTCCATATATATATATATATATATATATATATATATATATATATATATATATATATATATATATATATATATATATATCTTACATTTCTGTACACCATACTTCCTTAGTGACTTTTCTCTCGATTCATTTCTACCAAAGATAGCAGTTTGCATCATGATCATACCCGTTCTCATTCGTTACAGGAGTTTCCTTTTCTGACAATATCTCAACCTCTACCTGGCATGATATCACATTTTGGCAGTGTGGTTGCCTCCAAATCTGTAAGACTCCTTGACAAAAATTCTCCAGGTAAATAATTTTGTCAATTTTGGGATTTTATCATATCTTCAGAACTGTCGACCATTGGAGAACTGATAAAATAACGACTGATTATCCCATAAACTGCGTCACCGAAGTTAGGATTGTGTTTTGTTGATGGATGCAATTTTACACTTAGTTAGTTTCCATGTACTTCAAATGAATTAATTTGCTGATCAGAATACTTTTTTAAGGCCACACCATTCTACTTGCTTGAAGATTGAATTTTTAGGATGAGGTACATTTGGAAGAGTTCATTTTACATCATCAGGTTTTCTCATTGTGAAGCTGAATGATTAGTTCCCGTAAGGAAAATAACTAGTTAAGTTCATTATTTTCTTGGTTCAAATGCTCTGTTTTTGAACTATGAAACCCATTATATCAAATGGTTGTCATTCCAACCAATACAGGTTGTGTGATAACACTTTTTTCCGGACCAATAAAGTAGAATTTATTTGCTGACTGCTGTACGTCTTGTATACCTCAGACAGAATGCAGCAAATTTTCCTAATCCACAGTATGTTAACTAGCTTTTAGACTTTCTTGTGGTATATTCTTTACGCTAGGCATGCGTTATAATAAGCCAACATCTTGATAGAAACTGATATAGAGGAAGTGAAAAATATCTGCAGTTCAGGGTGTGGACGTTCAAAATGAATTATTATCTAAGCTTGCCAACCAAAACCTCAGCTTAGAGAACAACTTGACGTAAGCAGACTGATATCCTAGTAAAAGCCTGATCGAGTTGTGTTTATAGTATTTAGGCGTCTTTTATGTGTACAGTGGTGTGTATTTCGACTATGTCTCTCATATTTTCGTAATTACTAATCCATCTCACTTGTTGTAATAATGCCTTTTTAATTGATTTCAGCTGGAATTCAATTTCGAGATGCTTGGTGGCTTGAGCTGCGCTCAGAAATAGTTACTCATATGCGTAGTATTGGATGTGATGCTGTTTTGGCATACCGGGAAGAATGTGCAATATACGAAGACGTTTGTGTTCTTTCAAGTTATGGTACAGGTGTACAACTGAATCCTAAGTGGAGCCCGACTTCTTTAGATCCAACTAGAGTTACAGGATCACTTGGTCTTACTTCTGTCACCTTGCAAACAGCCAGTGAAAAGATCCTTGGATCTGTGACAAGTAATGTTGTTTCATACTGTTTTTACCTGTAGGTTGATAAATATCTATCCACAGTATTTTTTGCCTCTTGTTTCTTGTTATTTAAATACTAGAAGGCTTATAACCCACAGGTTTAGACGGTTGAAGAACAATTTCCCACTTCCACCAATTCCATTCAACCTCTTAGATATTCTCTTGCCCTAACAGAAAGTTTTGAATCATGTATCATTATGTTAATGATAGATCGTGGCTAGCAGTAGAATCCAGGATGCACAGCTCATCCTATTTGGGACTCGTCAGCTGGATGCACCTGCTTCCCAGTGAGTTATGTTGTTCCCACAAGAAGTGGCTATCGTGGCTCGGTGGTGTAAGGATAATGTCCCGGCGTTTGAAGCGATCGATCTGGAGTCCGAATCCCGGTGGGAACAACATCACTCACTGGGTAGCAGCTACGTCCAGCCAGCGAGTCCCAACTACGACGGGATGCGCATCCTGGACTCCGCTGCTAGTCACAATCCATCATTAATAAAAATAGAACACAGGTAATATCGAGGCGTCGGCACAGGAGCCCACATGCCAATAGAAACCGATCAATTCGGTCCCATCACCGTCGGTATGATATAAAAATAATAACACCAATATCATTCATTCTTTATTTTAGTATTAATCACTTTTCGTATCTATATATTACGCATAAAGGAAGGGAAAACTAAGCAGTCAACAAAAATAGAACAAAAACAAGAGCAATCATATCAGAGTTTCAATACACACTGTTTTTGAGTACTCCTTCATATTATTGAAATTGATGTGATTTCAATTAATAAAAAGCTTTACATCATTTCATGTAGTTAGTTTGGAGTGCATAGAAAATGATGACTATTTCATACTATCACTTTTAGGATTTCTGTCATAAAGCCCTTTTTTAAAGTTATCCCAGCACATGTCCATGTATGTTTGGTGAAAAAAGACGGACGTGAACCATAACACTGCAATATCACCTTTAAAATCTTTCATAAAGCTTTTTCAGTGAGTTCGACAAATTCCTTGACTTGGGGAATAAACTTGTAGATGAAATTCTGTGAATATACATTTTAGAGTAACCCAGATCTTCAGTTCCTGATATCCCTTCTCACCTCTTTGGGATGGTTTCCGCACTAGATATCGGTGAAGCTGGGCAAACGGATGTTTTTCTAATCTACATATCATTACTCCACACATCACATTTAAGAATAGATTTTGGGCACTGCGGTCGAGTGTTACTTCATATTAGACTAGTCTATTTGGTATAGCATACAGTATTTATTTTTATTTATTATATATATTATTAGTCCCTTGGGTTCCTAATGGAACATAGGACTTCAGTAGCACGTCTCCAGTGAACTCTGTTCTCTGAAATCTTTTGAACCTGGCTCCACGACAGCCGACAAGCTCTCATTTCTTCCTCACAAGATCTCCTCCATGTCACCCTCCGCACCGACACCCAACTTGTTGCTTCCCATCGGGCTCCCAGTCAACAACCTGGCGAGTGATGTCCCCAGTCGGCCTTCTCAGTGCATGCCCAATCCATCTCCACTTCCTTCTGCATATCTGTTGAGTGATAGGTTCTTAGTTGGTTCACTGCTAGTCAGAGTCCCTTGTTGCTTATTCTTATTATTCTGGCCATCTGATCTTCAGTAACGAGCCAGCGTAGGCAGTTGTTAATGAGTGTCTTTAGTTTGTTGGAAATCCCTTTCATAACGCACCGAGTCTCTGAATCATCACATGGAAGCACTGACTTGACTGAATTGGTGTTGGAAATCGGCATCTTGTTCACGCTTTGTGCTGAGTGCAGAAGATCTCCAGGCTGGTTTCAGGCTAGTGAAAGCCTGTCATGCTGTCTTTCCGATCCTGGCTTTGACACCCTCGTCTGTGCCGCCTGTAGTCGAAACAGTGCTGCCTAGATAGGTGAAAGAGGCTACTTCCTTTAAGTTTCTCCCGTTGATGGTGATTGGAGCTTGTTGTTGTTGTTGTTGGTGGTGTTGGTTGGGTATCTTCATCACCTCTGTCTTCTCTATATTCATTTGAAGTCCCGTCTTCGCTGCCTGGCCTCTTCTGACAACTTGTTAGTTTTCGCCTGTAGTCCTTCAAGTTTATGCAACAAGACATCAGACACAAGTCATCGGCGAAATCCAAATCTTCTATGTTCTTTTCCGCGGTCCAGCCAGTGTATCCCCTTCTTCTCGCTCCTCACAGTTTGTCGTATGATCCAGTACACTATAATCAGGAATATCATGGGTGATAGTAGACAGCCTTGTTTTACTCCTTCCTGCCTTTACTTCGAAAGCATCACTGAGCTTCCCATTGTGAATTACTTGGTATGTGGTGTCTTCATATAGCTGTTGTTGAATGAGATTGATAAAGGTTCGTGGTATTTTGTAGTGTTGAAGCAACTGCCAAATTACTTGTCGGTCGACGCTGTCGAAGGCCTTTTCAAAGTCGATGAAGTTGAGATAGGGAGTTGACTGGCATTCTATGCTCTGTTCTATGATGATGCGTAGCGTAGCGTTGCAATTTGGTCCGTACATGATTTGTACTTCCTGAAGCCTGCCTGTTTCGGTCGTAGTTTTGAATCCAGTGCATGCTTTAGTCTCTCCAAGATGATGCGGCCTAAGATTTTGCTTGGAGTGGACAGGAGAGCGATTCCGCACCAGTTCTTGCAAACACTGAGGTCTTCCTTCTTTGGAAGTTTGACAAGGTATCCCTTCTTCCAATCTGCAGTTACCTTCCCTTCCTTCGACACCTTCTGCAATAGTGGTGTGAGCATGTCCGCTGTTGTCTGTGCGTCTGTTCTCAGTGGTTCTGGCGGGATTTCATCTGGTCCTGCTGCTTTGCTGCATTTCAGTAGCTTTATGGCATTCAGGACTTCGACTTTTGTTAGAGGATTTATGTTCACTTGTAGTTCTGTGACTGCAGGTGGTGGTCGATTCAAGAGCTTTTTGAAGTGGTCTGCTCATCGCTTCCTTTGTTTCTCCTCTTTGGTAATTAAATTTCCGTCATCATCTCTTATTGATCTCATGTGTGTTGATCTCTTCCCAGATAGTAACCTTGTTATTTGATACAATGTTGTCAGGTCTCTCCTACCTGTAGCCTGTTCTGCTTCACTTGCCAGTGTTTCGTAAAAGTGTCTTTTGTCTTTCCTTGCACTCTTCTTCACTTCTTTGTCTAGTGTTTTTTATACGTTGTACTTAGCTCCTCTTGTCGTTGATCATCCTTGCACTGGTTTATCTTCTTGACTATCCTCCTTCCCCCGCCCTATCAGCTTCCATGTGTCCGTCGAGGTCCATTCCATTCCTTGTCTTTTTTGCAGGTTTCTTTCTACATCTCTTTCAAAGACTTCCAGTGTCCTTCCACACAGGTTTCTTCAGGGATGTTCCTCGATATCTCCCAAATTTGTCGTAATGACTGGCTGCCGTGAAGATGTCCTTTGTAGCTTTGTCCTTCAGTTCCCGAGTGTTGTAGTTGAACTGTGGTCTATCACCAGCTTCCTTGAAGGCTTTTAACTTGATTTGGAAGGTTCCTTGCAGTAGATAGTGAGTTGTCTGAGCCTACATCTGCTCCTCTTCTTGACCTTGGGTCAAGTAGACTGCGTCTCCACTTTCTTGAGATTGAGATAAAGTCGATGTGATTTTTAGTGTGTCCCGGTGTCCGGTGAAATCCATGTCGGTTTGTGGATATCCTTGTGCTTGAACACACTGCCTCCAATCACCAAATCGTTGAATGCACAGAATTCTGCCAACAATTCTCCATTCTCGTTCGTTTCACCTATCGCTTCTCGGCCCTTAGTTAGTTCTCTTCCTGTGTTGTCCGCTCCCAGACTGGCATTCATGTCGCCCCACCCATTAGAATTTTGATGTCACCAACTGAGGTCTTGTCCAGTGTTGATTGGAGTTGTCTGTAGAATTCCTCCTTTTCCTTTTGCTCTGCATTATTTGTAGATGCATAGCGTATCATTGTATGATTGTGACCTTCCTTCCTTTTGAGTTGAACCTTGCTGTCATGATCCTGGAGGAGATTGGTTCCCACTGCATGAGAGCCTCCGAGGCTCTTAGGGACATCATGATAGCCACTCCAAAACTCAGTGTGGTTGTGGTTGTCATCTGGGTGACAATATCAGAGTAGATTATTGATTCCCCAGCTGACAGTTTGGAGAGTCCACTTCCATTTCATCTACTTTCGCAAATTCCTAACACTTCAATGTGATACCTTCTCATCTCCTTTGCAATCTGGGCTGCCTTGCTGGGTTCAAACATGGTGCAGACATTCCATGTTCCCACGTTTACTTTCGCTTTCATCGAGAGAAGACACATCGGCCAATTGGCTTCCCAAAGGCTTTCACTAACCGACATTATTTCGCCTCTCCGATTTCAGCGAGGAATAATCTTGTTTTTATTTTTATATTTTGTTTGTGCTTTGAAGTTTCTTTAGCAGTTAGATTTGTTTTACGGAGTAGGGTTGCTAGCCCTATGCTCAACCTTCCCTGTTTACCCGGGCTTGTGAACGGCTAGTAACTAGTGAACTAGTTAACCAGGCGAGGTTATAGCATATAGTAATACAGTATTATTTACTAGATGACCGTACGAGCAGAATTTATTGCTCATATTCAAATCAGGATACTTCAGAAATATATAGAGATACCTAAACGAGAAAAGTAGTGAAGTGTGCAGGGACTGAGAAGAAATTTAAGACCTCTGTATTGTTGCTATATAGGGTAGGATTATCAAGAAAGCTAATCAGCCTTCTCACTAAGAATGAGATGAGGGTAGCATTCAAGCTTACAAATTCACCCAGACAAACTCTACTAGCTTAGGAATTCTGTTCACCTAGTTACGAAAAAATTGTTTGACCTAATTAATCCATTGCGTTGACTATGTGGTCCAGAGCGTAGGTCGAACTACCAATCGGCGTCAGTCAGGTTAACAAAAAGTGGGCACCCCTCCAATATGGGTAATCTAGGCAAAAATGCGACCATAGCTATGCATTCAGTAACATACAATCACACAACACTGGTCCAGAGTAATAGTACTAAAGACGGATGTAGTTAAGTATAGTTAATCTCTGTTAATCGATTCATAGCCTAACACGTATTATAAGAATGATTCAACACCGATTCTAGATTTACGGAAGATCCTACTACCAATCAAATGTTAGCATGAAAAGGCAATAGAACTGTAGTAATGTAAAACCAGTCAGTCGTGTAATTACCTTGATATTAATATTAGCAATAAATTATGCTCGAAACGTCATTTAGTGTATAATGATGGATCACCGAGTGCTATATCTAATATCTAATACAGAATTATATCGGATGTATTTATAATTTTCGGGTCTAAAGAAGAGATTACTGACGAGAATTGTTCACCCAGACACATACTGGTACATTTCATTACGGAATGTGAACTATCAGGTGCGAATTTTGTAATGGTGAAAATATGAGTGGAAGTTATTTTTTGTAAATTTGCGTAAACTGTATCAGCCGATTGAACTGGGAGTTGTATCTTTTTGGCTTACTTCGTAGTAGTTGTGTGCATAGTGCGTAACTAACGTTAACTTATTCCCACCTTTTCTAATAGATAAGTGTCTCACTTTTTAGGAAGTGTGAAAATCCATTACTACCGTTTGGTGCAGATAAATTGTCGGATTATCTTGTTCTACTTATTAGTAGTGTGAAGTGGTGAAAGACATTTTCAGAGGAATTATCCTGTTTCATTAATATGGGAGTAAAACGTAACGTCAGCTCTGCGGTAGGGTATGATTCCATTTTATTCTGATTATTAGATGTGTCATAGAGTGAAGTAGTATTGCTTTTTGAATAAAGTTTCGGATGTAACTTATTGTTCACATTGATGTCAAGCCATCCTCTTGTTGTTAAATCCTAAACTGAATAACAATAATTAACTAGTTCGATTCAAATTAGTTACTAAACATAAACTCACTTCTAGTGGTTTATGTCAGTTGAAGAATTTATCACTTTTCAATACCAAGCACAAAAATCAGAAGTTGCACACCTTGTATTCAATAATGCTGAAGGAAGAAGTAATTACCATTCTTCTATATTATCTGAATAGAGTTAAAAGAATACGTTTTTTCATAACCTCCCCTCCATAAGTACTTCTAAGAAATGCACTTCGCTCTATAATGCACAACATAAAATTTGCAGCTGAGAGAGATGTGGAGGTTACAGTTTTTTTATCAAGGCTGTGTTTTTAGTATTATTTGCCTTTGGTGTTGAACCACAGAGTGAACATCATTGAAGTAAGTCATAAATTAATCAGTCATAAAAGCGAATCATCCATTGGTGTTGTGATCTGTTACCAATTGATGTGTCTTGGATATGCGTTTTACATCATTTGCCGGTGAAATAGATTAAAGTTGGAAAAACGTTAACAGTGATCAAAACAAAGACATGGTACCAACTGATTGGATCTCTGCTGTTCTTCTAAGCCGTGCAGAAGAGTATAAGCTACGTGAGCATGGTTTTCAGTTTGTTAGGAATCAATGAACAGATCCCCCTCCTGAAATCTCTCAAAACTGGTCATAAAGGTGAACTCATTTTTTAAAATTGTTTTTGACAGTTTCCAACATGTTTTAAACCTTTTACTTCAGTAGCATCTGCTCACTTCTTCGTGTATTATAAGGAAGTGTGGTAGTGTGAACTAACCTACGTCTATGCGAAGACTTTCACTGATCCCTTTTTCTGATTGTTTGGTAACGACACTTTCAAAAATCGGGTCGATTTTAGACGAAACGCACTCACTAATCCTAATGGTCATAGAGTTAAACGATCTGTATTTGCTGCGTAAAGTAAAATCTTTTGAAGTGGATCTTTTTAATCAAAAGACTTGTTTATCTGGCAAACCATTGCTATTCAGCATCAACAAACATTGTGACCATTGCAGTTGAATGTTGACTTATCGAATGCAGTGTTTATCACAAACAAAACCTTTTTTGCGCATCTTTTTGTAGGTATAGACGTCGCGAGTCAAACAGACTGCTAGCAAAAGTGAACCTAGTTAATTTCGATTCATAGTGGTATTTTTAAAAATCGTAATTAATTTCGTTTTGGTTTCGCGCAACGAAATTTACATTGCACTCATTCATTTTCAACGTTTTATTTAGCTCCGAAAAATTTTTTTTACGATAATGACGCAATTTCTGTAGACAATCCTTGTGTATATAATTGCTCCTCTGGAATGACTACTTCGAACCCATCTGTCCATGTGCCATTGTCAGAAATAACTCCCGTACCTTCACCTTCCTCTTATACTAATAAAGAACCTAATCGACAAAGCTCCCCTCAAAGCTTTGTTGCCAACCAACAGAAAACTCGTAATCACTACCAACGGACTAAGTAAGCGTAATTTCTATATTTTATACCAAAGTTTTCGCTATAATATGTAATTGAATTCACTATTTGTCTTGGATTTTTTTCTCTCCTGTATAGTCTCCTATAGTCTCCTGTATAGTTCATAACTATATTATTGGGTAGGGGAATTGAGTACAACTTTTACTTAAATAGCTTCCTTTACAGAATCAGATTTCCGTATCACAGTATTATCTTGTATCTATGTGGATCAGACGGTATATCGGTCTATGTCAGATGTACAACTTTTTAACGAATTAGGTAAAGCGTATTGGCGATGTATTACCTTACCGTTTATAGGTGATACTGTGTTCATCACCTTGTTATTACCAGATTTCACACAGATTTATGCACTGAAAATTATGAGATTTGAGGTACAGTTTTTATTGACTTGTGATCCGAAGTTTCAGTTCAGCTGGATTTCAGTGTGTCAAAGCAATAGGATTCTTCAGGCTCGTAAATGTGTTCCGAGTACTGTTTGAATATCCACTTCCTAGTGAATTTCATTAGTCAATTTTATGAATACGCCTCACTATACTTTCGCTGTTGCGATAACAAATTGATAAGTTTTATTATGTACTGTAGAATAACTTGAAATATGTGATGTGTAAATCTTGTTAGTTGAGATGCTTCATGTGCAGTTCGTCGATTCAAAAGCAGTTTTCATTATTGATCAACATCATTCTGATGACCGTTGAAAATTAAAAAGTACTGGTCAAGTGTTTCACTCTAATTTGAAATTCCTGGCAGTTGACATTCATGACCACAAGCAGAAATGAGTCTTGAGCAGCCAGCTCTACAGTTGAACAGCTGTGTCTACCTTCACTAACTCTTGTCAATTGTCTATATATTACGATCATTATCTATCGAGACGAGTATGTGATTGTCTTCACTCCTGAATGCACATACCACACAGATCCCAATCTCTGAGGCTACTTATGTCGACTAGTGGTAAAACTGGATTGAAACTAATCATTTATTTCATGATTCTTTAAGCTGTTTTAAATAACAAAACAGGTGGACGTGTACGACGAAAACACAAATACTTGTTATCACTATTATTTTCGTGCATTATTATTTTTTAAGTTATGACATATTTCATCACATTCTCATTTCTATTATTAACAAAGTGATGGAAAAAGTTAGATTAATCATATCAACAATGAACATTTCATAAACATACTGACTACTGAAATTCAATATATGTATTTTCACCTTTGTAATTTATCCATTATCGCGACCATAAACGCGACAAAACTAACGCATATTCCTCATGTGTATGAATGAATGACCCAGTTGTTAGTGTTAATATCGGTTTTTTTTATGGCATTTAAATTATTCTTATATGTACATATAATTATGGGGTTTTATGGTCATTGTATTTGTCGAACCTAACGATTTACTGAAAATCTTTCTCGTTACCCAATTCAGGACCTAACTGTGGGTTTTATATACCAGATCATCTGTCCCTCCAAACTTTGTTTGGAAGGTAGAGAGAGGTTCAGTCACATGACTTAGCTGTCAGATGTCAAGTGCCTATGTCAATAAATCACAGCTTCACAATGATTAGTATCACCTTTTATACTTAGAATTGATTGTTTCTTACCGGCATGAAGTGGTATTTTATCGATTTCTGTGGTCGATTTGTAATCAGTTAGTGATGGGCTGAAATTTTGAAGTTTGTAAGACCATTTAACATCATCGACTCTCAAGCAATAAGTATGGTATATTAGCATTATCTTATCTGACTAACAGACTTTGCAGTAATATAAACTGTATCTATGATGCACTTAGTGTTCAGGAGATGTACTATATTTTTTATCTTTGATTTATGCTGTTAATTTCTCAGATTTCCAACACTCATTCTTTTCTGATGCCGATAGTTGGCATTTCTGACAAACTGAACTGTTTAATAAGAGGTGGTTATTAGGTGAACTCCCAACAATACATACTGTATGCTTACAGGAAATAGATGTGTAACCCGTTTAGTTATAGTTTCTGTATCATCTATGCACATTTATGAATTCATACATAACACAGAATATCTTCCTTCCTTAAAACAGATATACATAATGGTAGTTAGTTGGTATGAAAACATACATGGGATATTCAAATGAATGATGAGAGTTTTAAAGTATCCTTTCTATTTATCACTTAATTTCCAATCAGGAATGATTCAAATGGTGATCGGTAACCGAAGACTAAATTAGGGTAACTTAATTGCGTAGATATTATCTTACAACCGATTTCCTAATGCAAACCTCAGGCTTCGACTTTATGCAACAGTCAGTTGCGAGACATACTGTTTCATATATATATGTACGAAGTGCATTAATTAGCACTCAGTAACCGCTCGTGTATCTAATGAATATGGTTATTTTACTGTTTTAACCTGTATATAAGGTATTTATTGATTGTAGCATTGACCTATGTGATTAAACGTAGTGCAAAATATAAAAAAAATTGTAGTGAAATATCATCTCTCTAAGTTTACGATAATTCGAAAAATTTTCAGTAACTAAAATAATTGGCGTAATTCTTTTTAATTCATTATTGATGTTCCTCCTTTGAATAGCTTGTCGAGTTTCAGTCTGCTTGTTAGTGCCATCGGACTTCAAGTCTTTTATTGATGTATTTCGCGTCCTTTGTTATTGTTTATTTGTCTATTCTAATGCGGAAAATAACGTCCCAAAAACCAAATGTATGCTTTGTCTGTTTGACGCTTACGTCGATGGATTGCGAATTCTGCCGTAATACTCTTTTTTCCAAAGGACATTATCCGAAAAAATGAAAGTTTAATGAATTCGTTCTCCTTTTAGGTGAAAAAGTCATGTATCCTATTCCTTTACATAGCTATATCATTCAGAACCAAGCTTTTCTGTGAAGAATTCAGTATGGTGTTCAAGACGTAACATGATGATCTAACATTATGCTTTTTAGACATGAATGTCTTGCTGCCTTTTTTTTCGAAACCGTGTTTGTCATCGCATTATGAATGCCATATTTTGTCAAGTTAAATGCTTAGAAACCAAATCTGTTATCCTGGAACCTCTATATATTTCTCTGCAAATCGTGAAGCTGCACTTGTGACCACTAAGGATTGAATGTAGACTAACGTATAAAAATCGTCATTCCTTCGGTAAACTTCAGGATTAAGTCTTATTCTCTAAAGGAATGGCTTTTATGATGTTGCGAAACGTCAGAAACCTTTTTTTTACATCACTGGGTTTTTAAAAATATAAGTCTTTGATACTCCCTTCTTTCTATCTCAAATATGCGACAAACGAACCAACATTTTGTTATTTGCTACATGCAGCTTTTTCAAAGATGATATGGAAATACTGATAACCAGACTAGTTTTGAGTATGCGATGCATCGTCAGATTCTCAAGTTTGTAAGAATATAAAGATTCTTATTATGAAAACCACTAAAGTGTTGGTAGACCAATGCAGTTTGAAAGTGATAAGATGAATAGTTGACAGTCAGGAAGTTCGTTAGTTTAGTCTGTATCGCTTGCTAAATATTTCAAAATGAGTAATGAACATTGAAAAACCCTCATGTTTTTAATGGATTGTTCAGTGTCCAGCGGTGAAAATCGTATCTTTAATTTAACCAACGACTCACATGGGATTTTCAAGACTCCATCATACGCTTTTCCGGAAGTAAGACAGACGTTCAGCTATATGACAGTCATTGTGTAAAGAAAATAACTCAGCATGAGTTCGTACAATTCTTTTGTTTTGTTTGTGTTCTTTTCTCTAACTCTGTATAAGCTATCAATACCCTATAGATATCCACAGGAAGTTCACATTTTATCGGTTAGAAATTCTCTGCATCTGGCGAATGTTCATTATTATATTATTTGTATTTGTCAGTGAACTTTAATTCTATATTTGATTATTTATTCGGCATAGCACTTACCGGTGCAATAACAGTTTGCCCTATATCGAATAAACAATCCAATATAGAATTATACACTACCGTAGCAAACTTCAGTTTAGTTATCATGCCTAAGCTATAATTCTGTAAATTTCGGTTTGCCATCATGTTGACAGAACTGTTATGACTACAAAACAAAATGTTAATAAAAATAATCTTGTTTTATCTCTCATTCATTGGAAAATACAAATGTTAAGCATGACTGCTGGCACCCTTAGCTGAAACAATACGACAGCGATATGAACAAATGTGTAAAAGGAAACGTCTTATTAAATGAACTGTTTATTCAGATCATCAGAGTATATGGGAGTTTTCAAGGTTCATAACAGATGATCCATTCCTTACCTGATGAATCACACAACACTTGAAGACTATATTCATTGAACTGGGTTTATTATACGCTGGTGGTTGGTATGGTAAATGATACATAAAACAAACTTGTCTACTTCAGCTTGCCTTTTTTTCTTTTTCATCCCACTTACTGAATAGACCTGATTGTCACATCTGTCACCTACCATCCACATTTGAGACCAATTCTACTCGAACGGCCTTTCCGATAACATCGTCACGATGTGCTGTATGCAAGGCTGCAAATGTTCCTGATTTATTATTCTCTTCATCTGACTTCCCACCTGAATTATCAGTGATTGGTAACCCAGCTTTAATACAAGCAAGGTTAGTTTAAATGGAACTATTTCTAACCTGAAAGGAATACTTGTACTTATCTGGGATTTTGCTGAAATTGTGTTTTGTACCCATTGATTATCTGTTGTTTACTACGCATGATTATTGGATCCGTATATGTATATAACTATGAATAAACGATTGACTGCACTACTGGTATGTCTAACCCACTTTTAAAAGAGGATAGTGCTATTTTCAAAGCGCACTCAGCGCAAAGCATGTCCTTTTACATGCAAGAAAAATTAAGACGTTTTTCCACTAAATCAATAAAGATATGATGAAATTTCGTTACGCTATTGAAATACATTGGAAAGAAATTCATTATAGACAAACTTCAGCATATATACATGGCATGTATTCAAATAAAGCATATATGTCTTACTGAGACACATTTACTGTTAGGATAATGGGATTTTTTGATTATAACAGTTTTCATTGAAGCGTGTAATAGGAACTTGCAATTTCAACCATTTCGATTTTTCAGGATAAAGTTGATCAGTGTGTCATAATCTAATGTTTGCCGATAAGAAATTCTTGATGTTTGATTACATTTTGATCATTGACTTTAACTGATACGCTTTTCTGTAGCATTTTACCTTGTGGCATCTGTCTACAAGTATCCTGCTGCTTGGGATTCCTTATCTGAGTACATCTGTACTGAAGCTTGTTAGAATGTCCATAGGGACTAAAACCCACCATGCATTACTTTCGAAGTCAGAAAGTCACCCAATGAATGTACATATTGCTCGTCTTGTTCATCAAGTATAAGCTGTTGAAATTGCCAGTTGCTGATTTTTAAAACTGAACTGATCAGATTCTATTAGAATATTGGCCGATGAGTTCTGAATTTGATCAAGTGTAGGTTTTGGTTTTCAAAGATAAACTTTGTACAACAATGTTTAAAGATCTCGCTGCGTAATTGGTTGTTGCGATATCCTTTACAGAAAGACACCATTGTTGTTCACACGTATTGTTAACAAGTTTTCTTCAGAGCAAAGTCATACGTATGTTTAAAAATATGAAGTCGATATAGCATAGAAAGTTGTTTTGTTTTCATACAAAACATTCCAATCCCCACTAATTATTGAGACATCACTTCTGATAACATGCATCTTCTGTACATTTACTGAAATTGTTTCCTGTATTCGACAGGAATATTCTTCTACGCTTATCTCTCTTTGTAATTGTTTTCTCAAAGAGTTTGCCGACTGAAGAAAGACACTAAGGGTGAAGTTGCAGCAAGTGAATTGAGTGAGGTAAGCTTCTTTTAATGTTTGTTTAACTGGTTTCAGATTCTTCCTTTTATTGACTATGAACTTCACTATCGTCTTATGCAGAAGTTAAGGGTAACTTTTCGTTTCCTTGTAATTCTAATCCAAGTTTCTTTTAGTTGCGCAGTATGAATGGTTTGTTTGGATTAAGATATCGTTTAGCCATTGGAGAATACATGATTGCTGCTATTGCTGTGAGTTTCTAGTTCTTGAATTCCATCCCGTTTTTATTCAGTTCTGAAATCTGTGAAGTACTTGCATACGACTCTGATTTTTAATGGTTCATAAAAAGACTCCATGGTCTCAGTTGCTTACGGTTGCATTCCGACAAGACCAACCTTTGTATCCGTTGTACGAAATCCTTTTACCTTCATTGGAATTTATTGTAATTATGGAAACTCCTATCACCTGTAGAGTCATTTCTATTTTTCTTAAAGGTGAATATTTTTGTCAGTCTACTGACAAATAAACTAAGGGAACCAGCTTTTAATCTATGATTAAGAAACTGTTTGAACACTAAGAAGAAATGTAGTCTCTGCTTGAAGTTCATCTAATTAAAAAAACAGCATTATCTTAATTTCCAATGCACGGCTTTAAACGTCATATTCATCTAGTGGTATAACGATTGACTCCAGTCCATACACAGGATTTTGAAGGGCCAATAAACACTTTTACTGTAAGTAGGTGATTAGTTCCTGATAGAGTTAAGCTGTGCTTCAATCTATACCTGTTCATCAACATTTATCTACCTAACTAAAGGAAAGAATTGCAAACTTTTATTCAACAGTGGAATAGCTAAACTTACACGTTATAAAAACAGCTTATTCTTTCTTTATCAACTAGCTGTATATCTTGTCAATACAGTTTTAACTTACACTGCAATTCAACTGGTACACTTCATGTAAACGTTTAAAAAAGATAGTCAAGTTCATTTTTCGTTGAGTGCATCCTGATAACAAATACTGAACCATATTTTGCTTTTAATCCACTCATCTCTGTCAACAAAACAAGTGACGAGTTACTTATCATTTTAATTTTAAGACTGTTTGATGTACTTCATATATATTGTCAATTGAATCCATTTTTCCCGCCGTATGCTTCATATCTTACCATACACAATTCTAGATTTCGTTCTTTATTCTTTATTTCGCTTCAGACTGGTACTGGAGTATATGTTGGTGCATTACCACCACCTCCGCCTCCCAGGATCATTCCATCTTTACATGTAAGCTTCTTTTTCTGAGGTGTGATTACCAGAAAGACACCTTTTAATGCTTTGTCAATTGTAGTTATTTAGCGTTATTTCATGCTTTATCAAGTATTTTGAGATAAAAGCTACTGAAACTGGGTTTTGCACAAAACTACAAACACCATGTTTGTAACTAGGTGTCAGGTTTAGGCCCAAGAATGATAGAGGAACCTTACTTACCTGGTCTCATTGGATCTATGATTGATAGAACTCATATAGCGACAATGCCAGTGAATTCGATAACCGCAACTGATGATAACATATAGTTAGTCATGCCTTCAATTACCAGTGTAGCATGTTTACTGTATGTCTAATATTGACCTTATCTATAAAATTGAAATTCCAGTTTTTAGTGAGACCATGACTAAGATCTTTGCCTAGAATCCCTCTATGGTTAGAATAGTATCGTAATACTACCATTCATAATAAATCTAATGATGGTATCTATCAAATCAGTCTAACCATTGGTATCCTGTATATCAATAATCTAACCGCATCTTCCGCCTTCAGTGGTCATTTCTTTCAGCCCCATATGATTATGGGTTTCCCAATCATTGTTTGCACGTGGACGTCTTAAGGATACCATGTGTTGTATATTTTTATGCAGTATATTGTTAAGGCTCTTAAATTCTTACTGCGAATTTATTTATAAAGGGCCTAATTAGTTTAGTGTGGCCACTAAATTAAGCAAAGCGGTAAACAGACCCTTCTGAATTAAAAGCTTTTTAAACCGAGAAAATTGCATATGTCCATACATAACTTTCACCAAACTTTCCTGCACCTTAAAGCATGCATCCCTAGTAAAGATGATTTCAGTTAGGTCATAAATTCAATTGCTTTAGTCATTCATAGGTTCTTAAAGTTTACAATTTCGAAAGTAATAGACTAATATTATACTAGATATGGTTGCAAAATGGTATGCAGATTACGCATGAAGCAACCTTTGTTATATCGATCAGATCAGTCGTTACATAGTTTAGTAATCTCCTCACCAAGTAAAAGTTTATTTCATATCAGATAATCGTACTGTGAACTCAGATCCAATCGATAGCTTACTCGACATTGTTTCTTCAGTTGATCTAATCGTATTCAGTCATTTCTTAGTGGCATAGGGATTCGATCATTTGTTTACCTTTTTCATGCGTCCATCTGCATTTATTTGTTTATCTGTCAGCCTATTTTGATATTATTTTAAGGAGCGTATATTAAATATAATTGAAACACATTGTAAAACATCTTTTTGTTCTATAGTCTTCCATGGTAGCTGAAGATCGTTGTGCTTATGAACGATTGAAGAACCAAGTGGACGATTATCTTCGCAAAAACCGTCAGTTGTATCGAATTTCTGTAAGCTCCATTTCTTTACGACGTTCGGTTTTCCAATACTGTACTTACTACACCATAATCTGTTTGATTTACTGCAGACTTACTTGTAAGCAGCACGTGAATAGATTTCATGTTCATTTCTGGTAAAGGATAACTGGCCCTGGTAAACCTATACTGAAGTATATTCAGATCATCGTCATTACGACTAGAAACTACACGAAATAGTCAGTTCACTTGTGTATTTACACCTCTAGATGTCCGCTTAAAACCGCTGTAGATTATTTCCTTGATCTCATCCCGACGCTACATTCGAGTGAAGCTTTAAGCAAATTACTGAATAGTTCGGACACGTTCGGATGTGCTCCTCCTTCCAAGCTTTGTGTGGCTAATTGTCGTCTTTAGCTACCAGGTAGCAGTTGCAGCTTGCACAGCAGTCACGAACTTCTCATATCTTAGAGTTTTAGTGTTTCTACGTTATTGTTGGGCTGACCACTTCAAAAAGCTCTTGAACCGACCACCACCTGCAACTCGTCCGGAAATACCACCAGCAACGGCAGAACTACCAGTGAACACATTCCCTCCGACAAGAGTAGAAGTCCTGAATGTCATACAACTGCTGAAATTTAGGGAAGCTGCAGGGCCAGATAGAATTCCACCAGAAGCACTGAAAACACGCACAGACAAAAGCGGACATGCTCACACCGCTGCTGCAGAAGGTTTGCAAGGAAGGAAGGAAAGGTACTTGCCGGTTGATTAGAAGAAGGGCTACCTTGTCAATTTCCCAAAGAAGGGAGACCTAAGCCTTTGCAAGAACTGGCACGGAATCATGCTCCACTCTTGTCCACCCCAGGCAAAATATTATGCCGCATCATCCTGGCGAGACTAAAGGATGCGCTGGATACAAAATTACGACCGGAACGGGCTGGCTGGCTTAAGGAAGAACGAATTATGTGTGGATCAAATTGCAACGCTACGCATCATCATAGAACAGAGTATAGAATGGCGGTCAACTCCCTACCTCAACTTTATTGACTTTGAAAAGGCTTTCGATAGCGTCGACCGAGAAGTAATTCAACAGTTGCTTCAACACTATGGAGTACCACAAATCTTTATCAACCTCATTCAACAGCTGTATGACGACGCCACATGCCAAGTGACCCACAGTGGAAAGCTCATTGACGCCTTTGAAGTGAAGTGAAGACTGAAAGGAGTAAGACAAGACTGCCTACTATCACCCATGATCTTCCTGATTGTGGTCCACTGGAACAGGCAGCAAACTATGGGGAGCGAGAAGAGGGGCATTCGCTGGCTGGATCGATGAAAAGACCCTAGAAGATTTGGATTCTACCGTGATGATCGATGTCTAGTGTCGCACAAACTTGAAGATCTACAAACGAAAACTAATAAGTTGACAGAAGAAACAGGGTAGCAAAGACGAGACTTCAAGTGAACGTATAGAAGACAGAGGTGATGAAGATAGCCAACGAACAGCAACAACAGCAGCATCAAGAGGCACCAATCACCACCGACGGGGAAACCTGAAGGAAGTAGTCTCTTGCACCTACCTAAGCAGCATCGTGTGGGGAAGTGTGTTGCTATTCCGTAAAGTTTTACCAACGCTACTTAACTTGATGTGCTCTAGTACCTGCTCAACCAGTACCCTACCTAACGTGTAGGTACTGATAACAAAGCACAAATCAAAAGGACTGGTTCGGGAATATATTCGAAGGAGTAATATATTTGATTAGAGTAAATGTAATAATAATGAATGGGGGCAACGTTTATTCGAGGTATCTGGCTAGCATGGCGGGGCTAGGGACTCTTAGCACGTGCGTGCTAATCAGCACTAATGAAGTGCAAAATAGCGTCCAAGCCTGCTCGGATGCATACTCGTCTAAACAAAACTTAAAACGTTTAAAGCATCCGAAGGCGAGCTAGAGCTTAATTTAATTATTAATTTAATTTAATCTATTTATTTGAGCCCTAGTTGTATTTTGGTGCCAGGAAGGTGCACTACCATCGCTTCAACTACAGACGGCACACCCGAGAATGTCAAAACCAGGATCGGAAAAGCAAGTTAGGCTTTCATTAATCTGAAATCAGAGTGGAAATCTACTGCACTCAACACAAAGAACAAGATCCAGATTTTCAACACTAATGTCAAGTCAGTGCTGCCATATGGTTCAGAAACTTGGTACGTCACGAAAAGCACTTCCAACAAACTACAGGCATTCATCAACAGCTGCCGCCCACGCTCACTCGATACTGAAGATCGGATGGCCAGATAAGATATTCAACAAGGAACTCTGGCTGGCTGGCAACGGACCCACCAAGAACCTATCACCCGACAAATATGCAGAAGAATGTGGGGAACTAAAAATGTATCATTCCGTTTACTTCATCATCCATTACTCATCTTATCTTCTGACTTTAAATAGAATGCATATTTTAAGTTATATTAAAGAGTGTGTGGGTGTTGTTAATAAGTGCCATTTGTCTTCTGGAGGTACATCTTCCTCTTTCGCAAGATTACCTAGTCGACGTTTTCATTCATCATACTGCTCGCGTTTGGTGTGATCAACGTTGAGGTCATACGGAAGGTACTAGGCAAGACAGCCAAGTCTATTGATAAGGTCATGCACCTTAGTTGACTGAGATCGCTTGGATATGTGCTATGCATGCCGAGCGGCCGCCTACCTCGACGAAGTTGGATTAGGTTGAAGGGGGTTCAGGGTAACCCGATCATGACGTTTCATTACCCCATTAAGTCTAGGTTTCTTGGTCTGAGACGCGTAGGGAGGTGTAGGCTACCTTGTGGGGTCCCCGAGACGATAGGAATCAATGATTGAGGACTCCTAGTGACATGGCTTGAAATCAGTGACAATGGCGCCGATGTATTCACACTTTGCCACTTTCCAAAGCTTGGATATTCGCACTAACCCTTATCTTCAGATTGTCTACTCTCTCACACAACTTTGTCTCCTTTTATATCCATCTTTTCCTCTTCACTTGTTCTTTGAATACTACTGTGAAGTGTTTCAACTTGAACCGATGCACTTCTGTGTGAGGTTCTATGTTGTTTTTGTCTTTCTGTCTGTCATATTGATAACACTGAATTCAAACTGAATTATGAAATTGCAAATTTAATTATTATATATTTCGATCAAGATACAGATATAATTATTTCATGGTATTTTGACTTGGCCTGTTACCTCTAAATCCTTGAAGTCCATGTACATATTATTGGACGACATTTTTTATTTATTTGAATCAAATTATCGCACTCATGATTTTCTTCATTTTGATCTTGTTTATTAGCAATACCCGTGACTTATCGACACACTATGTATAAAGTAATATGCTAACCGTGGGTAATTAAGGTCCACTAGATATAACATATCTGTTAGTTATACTCTAATGACATCTGAGTTATCTGTTTATGGCTTCCACTTGGAAAATCTCCGACAAATATTTTACGGTTCTTAGGCAGTAATCAGGCTTCCTCCTAAGTTTGAATTGTAAACGACTTTCAGTATTGATCTGAATCAGATTCAAATTGCAATGGTCAGAACGTGAAATTATTTAGTAGCCCCACGAAGTGATAGTTCTTTCTTTTCTCATAAACCTCCATCGTTGTAATACAGTATGTATTATGGATTCTAAACGCTCCAAGTTGAAATGAATCTAAACGCTGTCCACACCCTCCATCAAATTCGTCAACAAGCTTCGTTGGCAAAGACTTTAGCAACTCGGGCCATGGATGTGTGCTGTGTTTGTGAGACACGCATACAGGATCCAAGTGTGGATATTCACCTGACCTTTCCTGGCCAATCTGGTGAGTCCGCAAAATTCACCCTTCGAGTTTCTGGAGATTCGTTAGCTAGCTCTCGTGGTCTTGCAGGTGTAGGCATACCACTAAGCACTAGGGCAGAAAACTCACTACTAGACTGGATTCCAGTTGATAGTCACCTCTGCGCTATCCAAATGAACGGCACAGTGAGAACTAAGAGGAGCAGTGAGACTCGCCATTGTCTCTTTATAATCTCTGCTTACGCACGCACTGACTGCAGTTCGGATGAAGTGAAGGACGAGTTTTACCGTTAACTCTCTAGCCTCCTCTCCAAAGCCAAACGTTCGGACGTGGTTGTTGTTGCAACTGATTTCAATGTACGGGTGGGTGGACTGAGGCAGAAAGGCACTTAGGTGATACTTTCGGAATCCCGGCTGAATGTACAGATAACGGTGATCGCCTACTACAACTGTGCTCAGATAACCGCCTATTTTTAGCTAGCATAAATTTCAGACATAAAGAAAGACACTGTCTGACCTGGCGTCCACCGAGCTCAACTCAGCAATGGACACAGATAGACCACATTGCTATTAGTCATCACTCCAGACAAAAAGAAATTATTTTTCATTCATATAATGATACTGTCCCTTTCTTCGCTTTTTTATAACGATCATGATGATGGTATCGAAAACTCTAATGCTTTTGGGCAGAATATGAAACATACCCAACCTCAGCTCTATGTTGGCAAATTATTCAGTTAAAATTAAGTGAATAATTCGCGTTAACTACTTTTTTTTACTAGATTTCCTTAGCTATGAAAGCGTTTTGCAATTTTCCTATGAATTAGCCAACTTTTACCATAACGAATGATGTTCGGTCTATCGTTTCACAAAACTGGCATAAATTCTGAAGTGCTGAGTAAATCACTTAGCCCCATAATTAAACATGTACTATCGAACATATGAGCTGAGACAATACCTCAGGTAGACAACACCAATTAGTTGGTGTTTCTTTGCATATCTGTAAGGTCTTAACCAGACACTTAGCATTCATTATGTTAATGGGTACAAATATAGCTAAGGGTATAATTATAGCTCTTGTTGGATTTTATTAACAGCTTTCTGTCTTGAATGAAATAAAAACTCACTGAAGAAAAATAATCTGAGAAGAATAGTTTACGCATGTGACTAGGTCAAAACAAATCAGAAAATTTATCAGCTTTAATATTGTCGACTGTTCATCAATGTTTCTAAATGTATGAATCGATGTTCAGTTTTGTCGTAGTTTATTATGGAAGTTTTTTCTGTACTAAATATGCATTCATTGCGAGGTCAAATTTCAACTTTATTGTGTTACTATATAAAATAATGAAACATCGTGTGAAGCTACAGCATATCTGGTGATTAAAGTTGAGCAGTATACCTACTAATATAATTAGTTAGAGTGAATAGGATAATATTAATGTGGTAGGCAGTCAATCCATTATGGTAACGTGGTTAAGCTTAAGTAGATCATTGTTTTCGCCTCACTACTTCACTATAATGAAAAGGTAGATTAAAAATTGGTAAGACTAAATGCATCTACAGTTGTAATGTGACTAAGACAAAGAGATCTGGAGGTACTTGTAGTCAAGTGAAAGACTTTGTTCGGAAATAACTTAAAAACATTTTACCTATGCTCAAACAAAACATTTTAATATACATTGCCAGTTCCAATGTAACGAGTTCATACCAATTTTGATGTGCTCCATAAAACACTTTCCTAATGGAATTTAATAAACTATCGTTGATTTTTCTTTCTATGCCAACTCTACTTATCCTGTCTTCAATCTACAGTTAACAGCTACATTCAATAGCATCTATGATCACATATATGCACATCGATGTACAGAGCTGCATGCTGACATTACACTAAGCCAAAACGTGTTTAGATTCTCTGCGGATACACTTGATATGCTTCAAATACTAAACCTTCTTCAATATCTTATGTTTAATACCGTTTAGCTTTCTCCAGTGATGTTCGCTTAGTTGATACTTCCGCTTTGTTAACCTGCTAAACGCAAGCAGTACCTTAAGCTTCAATCTTTTCATAGACAGCAATATAACTAACGCTTTCACAAACAGAATTTCTAACTGGCCATTTTTAAAAACCGACACTTGTAATCCTTAATGTGACCCTAAAGAACCTTGACTATCTTTATGTTTAGTGAAGACTGTTTATTTCATTGTGTATCTAGGTCACAATAATCCATCGTTGTGTTCTTTATAGGCTACTGATAATAATCTCATGTCACATAGATTGAAATTTTTGATATCACATGTTAAACGCATAATAAAACAGGCTACGGTTAGCGTGTATGCAAGTAAAATAGTGTGACTTCTTTTCTTTTTCATTTCAGGATATGATCGATTGTCAAGATAATCTAACGAAATTCAGTGAACTTGAATTTAGTGACTTCATTCCCACGAATTACTATAATACCACTGGAGATATTTCAACTGGTGTAAAAAGTGTTGAAAGTCAATTAAAGAACTTACATATAAATACACTAGATAATTCTGGAGATTTTGATCAATTTAAACAATCAACCCATGTCAGCGATTTTATGAAATCCTCTACGGACACAGTATTCCTAGAAACTAGAGAACCTGAACCTGAAGAGTTAGCAGTTTTGTTGCAAGATCCTATTCAACCTTCAGGTAATATAAACCTTTTTAGCGGGAATTATTTTATGATATGATTATGAGCAATAAGTTATGCTCGAAACGTAATCAAGTAAATAATACTGTATCACTGTGCGCTTTATATCAAATAAACAAATCTAATATGGAATTACATTCTACCACAGTGCCCAAGTTTTACACTTATAGGAATTATTTTAGTTTTAGGATGTATTTGGAATATGCATGAATGTATTTTATTGGTTTTTGAGAACTAGAAAATTATTTCAACTGTTAATATGTATCATTTGATTGAAATTTGAACATGTACCTCATAGTTGGTTTAAATATTAAACGGACTGATTATTGTGGATGTGCGTATTCAGTCTTCTATCCCTATGCTACTCTCATATCTGGAGTATAGTTTTCTAGCATTAAGGGCAATAACTAGGAGTTACTCGTACAGAACTCGATTGATGCTAACAAGTTGGCCCTATGTACTGAAACAATTCAGAGATACTGCTGATTAGCCGAGCCTTAAACTAGTTAAATAGCCGTTTTCAGCTTATGTCATCTTGATCTAGGTGGTGGGCACACTGTGGATCAGTGTGAGTCGTCTACAACAAGTGATATCATTAAGTAGTATATTGTATACGGTCTTTAAATATTTTAGATTTCCTTATCTTGAATCATTGACAGGGCCAACTGGTGCAATGGTGTGTAAATGACGGTAAAATGATGAATTCAGCTATAGAAGACCACAGATAATAACCACATGAAATTTTTCGCCTTAGTAAAAACATTTTTGACCCATATTTTTCGTCCCAAAAACTAGAAAAATATTTTCATCCTGAAATTTTTAAAGGAAGAAATCTACTAAAGTAAATGAATATTGTCATTTTCTTCATGATGCGTCAGTTTAAAAAAAATCACCTTCTCTATCTTTTTGTTTAGATATCTACAACTGTAGCAAACATCCTACATCCAGTTTGGATCAGATAGCCCAAGAAATACCCCTTAAGAATGGTTTTAAAGCCTCTTCATAAACCGTTTACTGTTTCCAATGTTTTTTTGACTAATGTCAGTCCATAATGAATATCAACCTAATTTCTTACTGTGGTTGAGACGCAGTGAAAGACAACGATTAGCAAGTCTTATTTATGTGAACGCATCACTCATGAAAATTAGTTTTCATGACTTGGTTTTTGTAAGATAAGAAGTTGTTTTCTTTGTCACGTTTTCTTTTTATTGATCATCTTGTTGTCTGCTACTTATTTTTTTTTGCCTTATCTACCAATTCCTTCTAGGTTTAATATTAACAACCACAGAATCCATTCCAATATCAGATAACCTGACAACAGCTGATGGTGTTGTAATCAACAATTCAAAAATTTTTATTCATCCGTCTATGTTGATCGTGGTGGACTCGAAAGGTGATACAAGCAGCAGTCAGTTAAACAGTTTTATACGCTTACATGAAGCTGAATTATCTGTACCAGATTCATTTTTTGAAATGTCCGCTTATTCAGTTGCTGCCGCTGCTGCAGTTTCTTCTTCTCCAAACAATGGAAGTCATATGTCAACAAAGTCAACAACAAATAACTTTAGCACTCTAACAGTCACATCGATACCAGTGACAGGTTTTAGCACTTCAGGTTCATTAGCAAAATCACAAAATCATGGATTGATAAATTCGAATTCCGGACCCATTTTAAATTGTGCCTATCCTACACATCGTAATAGTATTGCCACTGCTACTGGTATTACTAGCGGACAACTATCTTCTTCTCCAAGTTCCAGTAGTTTGATTACTCATAGTAGTAGTCTTAAGAGTAAGCAACAACAAGACTTGTACACACATCATTCTACAGGTGGAAATAGCTTAGGCAAAGTTTTAAGGGAATTTAATCAGCTGACCTGGTTCAGATTTCGTCATCATATGCCGTGCATTCTAAGTGCTTTGGACTATCGTCTATCTTTCACTGATGATGAACACTTGCAGGTTAGTGAGATGAAACATTTATTATATTTTTACGTGTAAATACTTAACAATAAGTTTACTGATACTAAAATGCATTCAACATGGCTATTGTGGATATACTCACGCTTAAGATAGAATCATACTGGATACTGAGTAGTTTCCAAACAAACTGTAAATTCTGGTCAAATATAATTGTGAAAAACTTGCTATCTGGTGAAACATACTTGTCCATTCGTTTGTTTGTTTGGTGTTTTATACATGGATCTGCATTTCGCAATACAGTCTAAACTATGGTCATCAAGTTCAAACACCTAAATAATAAAGTAGAAGATATAAATAGAAATACTACTTATTACTCAAAGATTATTCGCTACTATTCACACTGAACCTGGGAAGAGAAGAATCACCATTAAATAAATGGTAACGTGACTTATTTAGAATTGAAAGCCTATGCAGTATAGTTATACTAGGCAGAAATATGATAAACCGTGTACAGAATGCTTAGTGAAGCCATAATTATATCAGCATTCAAAATTCCTTGTTTACGAAAAGACTTACCTTGATCGTTGATGGTTTTTACTGGTCCAGATAGAATTATATAACATAAGGATTACTATACAGTGATTGTAAGGTCCAGCGTGCAGACCAACTAAACGATTGGCGTCATTCAGGTAACCATCTAATAGGAACTTAACTCAAATTAATGCACCCCACAAAATTAAGCAGTCGAGAAAAATATTTTCTAATCGTTATCCATTCCCTAATACGTCAGCAAAGACATGTAAATATGATTCATCTTATTACTCCACTACCAGACGGCGGAACTCGCATAACGCTGAATAACATGTACTTCTGCCTGTTTATCCTGACCGTAATAGGTGGGGCAGAGTTTGAATCCAAAGGTCACTGTGTGAAAGTGTGTCAGTAAGTCATGCCTATGTAAACAAACAATAGTATGGAATAAATATATGCTACTTAAGACTAATTCAACTAAGCTGATGAAGCGCAGAAGTATTGAATGTTCATTTATTACAACAACACCCTACCATTTGCAGTAAGAATGGTTTGTCACCTGTATATTGTACCTGAAAACGTTTCCTGTTCTTATAAATAATAAATGCGAAATATTCCTACTGCGTTCATATGGTTTCATTACTCTCTATGTTTGTGCTCTGTTACATAGAGATTCAGAAATCACTTTAGGCATCATCCCTAACTCACCTTCGAGATGAGATAAAATTGGTACATTTTTCATGAATATTTATGCAGGTGATCACTAATCAGCTAAGTGATAAAACCGACCTGTCGGTTGGCTTATTTCCTCCCTAACATGGTTCCCTTCACATTTGGTTTTTTTTGCTTCTTTTTTGCTTCTTTTTTATTTGCTTCTTTTCAACCTAGACATACAGTTTTAATCGCAAAGCTCTGAAACGGTTTTATGATACCACTCAGTGATAAATATATATTAGTTTGAGTAGTCTTGTTTAAAATAACAAATACATTCAGACACAATGTTTTCTGAAATTCTGTTTCATACGGTTATTAAACGTCCTTCTGACCCACATTAAAAGCAGTTGATGCCGCATATTTCCAGGCAGACACAACAATGGAGAAATCCGCATAAAATTGCTTTGTTTCACTCTGACACACTTCACAATAGTGCAGTAAAATGAAATCAGCTGACATACAAAGTTATTAGCTTTTACTAGATAAAAGCAAAGAGGAAACAAATAAGTGAAAAATTATGAGACCTTTGGACAAAACGGTGAAAAAATATATTACATCGTGATGAGTCTAGATCCATGTCACTTAGGGTCTTCACCCATTGATCCTAACATTTCTTGGATGTATACTGTTCTACTCTTTCTTGGTCATTAGTCAATGACTTCATGAGTCCATATTATATCTTACTGCTATTTCAGTCAATATCACATGTCAGGGTAGGCAGTGGCTTAGAATACATAAAAAGTATCTAAAACGCACCAGTTTCTACTGTACAACAACCTTATCGAATGAATCGCACTCTTTGCCTAGATTTTTGTGTAATTATCACCTACAGTGAAACTACTGTCAACATAAAGATAATAAACATCTAACTATCTGTCATGTAGCATGACTCAGGATTCCAGTTAAATCTATGATTACCTAACGAACCTGTTTGTAATACTCATTCTTAGACATTAAGTAAGCAGCCTGTAGATATTTATGTTCTATCGCACAATTCTCTTTTTTCATATGTTTATCAGTGTCACCTGACTATTATTTTCCTTAGGTTTCATCGCACGAACACAGTAAGCTACTGTTAGCTAGTTGTACAAGTGAAATATAGTTAAGTTAGACGTACAAAATGTCAAGATTAAACATTTACTTACTGTTAGTTTTATCAGCAAGATAGATATCTCAAGAATGATATTTACTTTCGTTTTTGGTGAATTCATGTTTATCTTTTCTGTCGTACTATAGTCTTATTGTAGTAATCGATATTGTATTTTCATCATACTTGTGAAACGAGAGGCATATAAATGTCTGGTAACGATACGGTCTCAACCTCGGTCTTTTGTGGAGTCGTTGGTACGCATTACTGGGGTCCCAAATTAGGACGAAACAACTGTCTAATGCCCCCAACTTTTCAATTATTCTCTGTTAGATGTTAATGCGTGATTGAAAGTAATTTCATATCCATCACGCATTAACATCTAACAGAGAACTTTCATATATCATTAAGTCCTTTAAAACACCAAACTGAGTTATATAACGTTTGTTCCCTTCCCCTACATCCTACGTCATTTAACCAAATGGAAATAGAGAAAGATGACATCTAGTTTGTGACTGCAAAAGTCGTTCTACTAAGTGAAAATATATAAAGGTCAATAAAATTTCAATGTATATAAACTAATGTACTTTCATCGAACTGTTCTAACGATATTTCAAATTGAACAATAAGATTTTTCTAACTACTCAATAGAAATTTCTAAGTAGAAAAACTTATACCTCAGAATTCAATGAGTTTAATGTTAATTTTATATTTAAACGTATCCTGTCAATATGCATGTCAAGGTTTCCCTTCGAATAGTGATAAACCACTGATATCAGGAAGATTTCCGACCATATTCATCCGTTATACTAGAGTTTGGTTCCTTTATAAAGTACAATTAGTGGAAAAACATTCAACCCCTTCTTAGTTCGCTTCTATTAGTTGTATAGGTTATCTTGTTTTTACGTTTGTCTAGCACAAATTCACTATCAGTATGGACATATTGCTCTATACCCCATGTTAACGGGTCATATATCTGAAGGTCATGTGTGTTGTTCACCAACAACAACGTGATGACTAGCATAAGCTAAATAAGAATAGAAATGGTACATAACATTCAATGTTAGTTATTCTGATGATAATTCTGCGAACTTAACTAGTGAAGCATCTTTGACATACATCAATAGATCAAATGGTACAAATCATCGCTCAAAATACAGCTCCATTCTTGTGTATATTATCCAGTATTTATCCAAATTTGATGTATCTTGTCTGTCAGTAACCAGCTATGGAGTCCAGGCCGTACGTTTCATTCTCTTCAGCTGGATGTACCTTCGCTCCAGTGAACGAATGCCCGATTGGGACTCGAACCTAGCACAAATCGTTTCACTGGCCAGAGTGTAATTCACTAGGCTACTGATTCAAAGTGGTCTTCTCTTTAAAAGTCACTGAATTGATGATACACAAGAATTATGAGGTTAACACATGACACTGTGCATGTAATAAGGAGAAAAAACTTTAAAATTTCTGATCACAATAAAGACAGTTACAAATTATTGCCTTTGTTACTTTTAGCTGGTATGTTTACCACATTTTTAAAGGTACATAAGATACTGCCAACAAATAGGCATGCCCAGCTTATTTTTTCATCACTAAGCGATTACTGTAGAATGAATATGAAGAAAAATCCGATATGGTTTATAAGGTGAACTATCTACTTCCCAGTATTAATGACCACAACTTTATAGAATTCTTTTCTTTTTAAGGAAGTAATCACATCTGATATGATGTAACACTTCATGAACAGAGATCAGAACTCACTTGTATTCTAATTTTGTGGTCTACCTGAACATTATTTTTGTTTTTACTACTGAGTAAACAAAGCAACTCGGTTCACTTTTCTTTACGAAATACTGGTGGTTAACAGCCCTGTAAGATGTTTATGTTTAAATGGTTGGCAGATAACGTGACATTTATGATTAGTGCCTAGCAATTTTTACACATTCAACTTGGGTTTAGTTTTACTCCTACGAATAGTCATTCATTTAGTCGTAATATGGCTACTGTTCAGCGTTAAATTTAATCGATTGGTTTACTAAAATATTTAGACTGTATAATCTTCCAAAATTTTCCGCGGAAGTTTAAAATGCTTTGTTTAAATCCAAAAAGTCTCGTTGCAGAAAAGATTCAAGTGTCTGAGGTTCTTCTTGATATTCTGATGAAACGTGGGTACAGCCACAATGAATGAGGTGATCAGATTAATGATGCATAGCTTTATTTTTTCTATCGCTTACCAAGCTCTGAAGACTATTATTTATGGCAGGAACACGTGTCAGTCCTTGTTAGTTAGCCTAGGCAATCCGTCTTCAATTAGTTTATTTCAACGCGAATATTAATTTGTAAAACCTGACTTTAGATCTTTTCGATGCAAAAGCAAAGGGAATTTTTAGCGTTCACTAGTCCACTGATTCATTTACAATGCATGATGTTCGAATTCTGGTCTGTATACATTCCAAATTCTATCAGTAAATAACTTAGCAATATATTGGAAACTTTTGGGAGACAACAGTGATTTATTCAATATTCAGCTTTTTGTTGTCAGTTTCATTTTGGAAAACTGAGCCATTATTATTAGCTATTGAAAGTGGAATGAACATTCATTTTAATCTATGTTCGCAAAGGCCTAACATGCCAAGGAGCTCTTTATTTCGTTTTTTTCCTGATAACTTAAACTTAAAGACTAAATAGGGCGCAATAACTAATTAATATATTTTAACACTTCAGCATTTCACACATTGTACTTTTTTATGCTTCTCTTTGTTTAAAAAAATAATAATAAAGATTATAGCTACTGGCATGATACTCCATCCAAATAAACTACCAAGTGTGAACTGTGAAAAATCATCCATGTCTATGTCAAATAGTCCTTCTTCAAATAATAGTAACAACCATCTGAAACAGCACCCTGATACTTTAAGCAAAAAAGGTGGATTAATTAAAACCCACCCAAGATTCTATTTGCATAAAGCTAAAGACTGCAAAATACTTCCTGAGCCATCTACGCACAGAACTGATTTAAAAGCAGTGAGTCCTTACAAATTTATTTAGTTTGTAACATTTTATGTTGTATTGTTCAACTTAGTAACCTTATAGTTACAGTAAACGTGAATTTCATCGTGAATTCCATCGGTGAAATCCCTCATCGATTGACTCAAAAAATTGCTTAGCTTAAAAATTAGTGTAGTTACAACTTGATGCTCGAACACTGAGAATTAGGTGACACTAAATGACGATAACTATCATAATGTAACTTCGGTTAACAAAGCTGATACACGCAGTAATTTGTATTTTACTTCTATGTTAATGTTTTGTGTCACGTATCAGGATAGTATCAGTCACCACTCAAGTGTGTTCTAACAGTTTCTTCCGGTCTTTGAGTAATGTATTCACCAATAACTCATGTATCATGATCGCCATCCTTGCGTCATGTAATTCCTCCTTAAGCATTCATACATTTCAATGTTTTATTGGCACAAGCACTAAAATAATCGAATATGCTTATTTATTTTGTGAAAAAACAACCTTTCCAGCCCGGAATAGAGAAACTCAATTGTCTATTTCACTAGTTGTCAGGGTGTTTTTTAGATGTATGCCTTGTTCACTCCATTCACACATTTCTTGCATCCATCCCTACTGGACCATGTATTACTTTCCGGTACTTTACTAAACATTCAAATCAAGTTTTAGAAATGTTTAATGGGCGTACCCGGAGTAAAACAATACTACTAGTTATATTTACCTACTTTAGTCTCCCCTGTACGCAATCTGGTGACATCCAGACTTGTATTACAACATCAAAAAGTATATGGTATTTTTGTATATATGGCTTACATGGCAGGTAATAATGAAATGACACCCAGTTATCTATGCACTAGACTAGGTACTTTGACTGTATTTCCTACTCATAGCATTGGTATTAACAACTCGCTTTGGTTGATTCCTGACTACTAAGTTAGCTCATTGTCTCCAATAATAGTGATATATTTGTTTGATAAAAGATTCAGTTATGCATAAAACGTGTGACTTAAATCTCATAATTCTGGACTACATCTCAGACTGGATGTTGCTAATCAAAAGTAATGGGAAAATCTCCAACTAGTCAATCTTTATCAGTTGGTGTAGGTCTGTATTAATAAATACGTGCCTAGAAGACAAAAATGTCTTGATAGTAATACAGTTCCTGTTGCGAGTCTATTGGTTTCGGTGTATTGTTTTACTTCACGCGTTCCCGTTTGGTCTCGTTTAACTGATAGGTTTCTTTTGTGAAGTACTAACGTATAAGAGGCTGATTTGTCACTCTTTAAGTGAGTCAGAACACTTTATAGCTCTGTCAACGTTTTCATTGCAATACGTTATATCCACAACGTTTTTAATTCTTTCCCAGGTATGACTATTTTGTATTCCTACTGTTTTTCAACTTTAGCCTATCTCAGATGACATAACTAATGATGAGAAAGCAGTTCAACAAGAAAATCATCAAAGGACAGATAAACACATACCCGGTTGTATACTCACACCGCTATCATCGTTACCTAATATGTGTGTTGAGACATATCATGGTAATTTGGATTTCTTTTTTATTCGGGAAACTACTGATCTACGAGAAGTAAGTTCTGCTTCATACAATACACAGATTTATATATTTTCTTCATTGAATAACCTAGAAATAATCTACACCAAACTAGATAATTTCGCACTCAACTAATCTGTGCACTTATGTACCCGTATACTAAACTGTAGTCATGCAATTCTATCTCAGCTTACCTTGTATGAAAATAGCTGAACTTCACTCTTATTTGCTTTTCATCAAAGGATTTGCTACTTTATACGGTTTATTTCCCGATTGATATCGGTTGGCTATCTCGGTGTATGCATTCGAATTTGCAATCATTGCATTGCTTCCTAAACTTCTTGATTGTATACGTAATTGAATTGGCTTTCTAAGTGGTTGCAGAAGTGCATTGTTTTTTACAATATTAAACTTACTTTTTAATACTTTGTCTATTAAAACATTTTGTAAGTTACTCCTGTCCAAGAGACCGGTTTTGTATAATATTGTAATGATTTGTCGATTCAGTTGCTTGTAAACCTTCGATTACTTCATGTATCCATAAATCGATGTTAATTATTGATTTTCTTTTCCTTCAACTTCTACAGGTTGGTGGTATATCCGGATTTTTGCATACCAGTTTATGTGAAGTGCAAGCTGTGGTTGGAGCACATACCGCTAGTTTGGGTGGTAATGCATTATTATCCTACCACTTAAGTGAAATAGTTGTTCTTCGACCAACATCAAGGAATCAAGCCCAGTGTCTTTTAAATGTCTGCGGAGATATGGCTAAAGTGAGTTGGGAAACAACAGCAATGACGTTGACGAGATGTAAACACAATTAGCTTGTTCAGGTTTATCAGAAAAAAATCAAACATTCCAGTTACAAATTAGGATTGGGTGGTTTTTCAGGTACTTTTACTTACTTCATGTAATAAATATTCGTAATCAGAAAGTTTTTGTTGCTCATCTCATTTTCACCGAGTTCTTAGTAAAGCTCTGTTGTATTCACAACGTATTTTTCTACGAGTTGTAGCAAGTTACATTTACTTTGATAACCTTCATATGTATATTGTTGTTAATCATGCCATTGTACAAAACTACGTTGGACTATATAGATAGCAAAATGTCTTAAACTGTAAAATAATCCGGAAAGTAGAAATTGTTTTTGTTATTTTTCTTGATGGCTGAAAGTCATATTCAAGAATCACAATTCGTCTTGTGTGAAACAGATGAGTTGAATATACCTGCATTCTATTCTTTTTTGATGCTTTGACTGAGGTTAGTATGCAGTACCCCTGGGTAACATTGCTAGTGTTGTTTCCCAGGCTACCACCCATTTACGGTAGTTGCCATGATTATTATTTCACTGAAGCCCTATTTTCCCAATCGCTGAATAATTTAGTCATGGGAATTAACACTAAAAAAGATCATTTTTCAGCAGAGAACACTTCTTTTGAATGGTAATAGTTTATAGATAATTCTTTGTGTTTATCAATGAAATTCCAGTTCTATTTATCTTTCTAGTGTTGTGTCTCCTACTATTCCTAAAATATAATTTTATAATTTCAGTAATAACATGTACTCATTATACCTTTGTGTTGTCGGATCACTGGGCAGATAAATGTTTTCTTCACTTACATTTCAGTAAATGTGGTTTAAAACAGTGATCGAAAATCCTGAAAGAAGTTTTACCCCGAGTCATATCATATTCTGTTGAAGAAGCTGTGGCATACATAGTGAAACATTCGGAAAAATCTTGGTCTCGATTTTCCAAACACCCTGAGATTATATTAGGGCTTACTTATATATTGATCGAAAATGGTTATCTGACTTCCACATCCAGACGAAAAGCGATAAAACACTCCACTTCACTGTACACCGTCAATAAATCAGTTAAATATCAAATTCAGATTCAAACAAGTAAACGACTAAAGTCATTTCTGTTGAATAAATACCCTCCGATAGAGGTTTACTTTCCAGTTATAAATAATAAAGTAAACCAAGTTTTCAATTGGCCTAGTTTTATTTTAGCTTACAAAGAAGCATGATAGGGTTATAAAAAGCTAAATATTATATAAACCAGTTTCGAAAAAGAGTACAACATATACTATTACATGCCTAAGTCAGTTTTGAAGACGAACTTTGGAATTTTTGGCATGATGTGAATCCGAAAGTTAGGATAAGATGAAAACAAAGGAAAACCGAACAAATATAAGTGAAGAAAAAATCAAAGACAAAAAACGTTAGAGATACCAATATTGCAAGTGTACGACCAAAACTAATGGTATTATTGCCCATGATTAAGAAATCTTCGATTGACACGGGGTATTACTCGGTGTATATTATTATGGTGAAGGCCACTAGTGATCCAAGATACGTAGATTTCCTGAAACAATCTTATTTTCTAATATTGAACCTGGAGGTATATTGATGAGATTGCCGAAATTGGCGATTATGATAACGGTTCCCTGAAATATGATAAACACAACACCTTTACTTCTTAAGTGTCTAGTGAAAAATAAGTAAAATACCAAATCATAACACCCAACTGGCATTCTTATTTGACAATCGCTCCTAATGGCTTAGGATCAAGAAACTGCAGCTGATTTTCAGTAAAAACTAGTCAACAGAATCACAACAATAAAAAAGTCTAAAAAATAGTTTCTATAAGACAACTAAGCAGTAGTACAGCATCATAAGAGAATAGCCTTAGCTACTTTATTTAAACAGTTAACTTCTAGTTAAAAATGATGACGGCCACTCACACATGGTTGTAGTTGATACTTGCATTATTCCACAAATTTAAATAAACAGTAAAATGCATAGTACTGAATCTCAACTCAGTGGCTGAATAGTAGCGTACTCGTTTCAAGATTTGATGGCCCTGGCCTTCATCCTGCATGCAGTCACGGGTATATGTTACCAGAGATTCTCAAAACCAAATGAAACAACTGCCAAATGTTCTCTTTAAGCTTTTGAAGTTCTTCTGCCTGCTGCCAAACCAGAATGAAAACTACCTGGAAGTCAACCATTTCCCTACAGAACGCTGTACAAAGTGCATTTCCTTTACGTTGAACTGGTAAGAAAGATACTTGTATTAGCTTACAAAAAATTACCTTATCTCCCAGTTAATCATCTAAACCTGTGACTATTAACCATTTTTCATATTAGTATCGTTCCAAGCAAATTACCTGTGCATGAATTTCAACACATTTATACAGGAGTAAAAATTGGGTACTGTGGTAGATTGTAATTCCATTTTGGTCTGTTTATTAAAAATGTGAAACGGTATCATTTACTGGATAACGTTTCGAACATAACTTAGTATATATATTCATATTAGGTAACTCCACAACTTTGAGACAAAGTTTATGTAGTCCTAATTTTCTCTCCTTCTCTGTGATGACAAGAGTAGTAGAACCTTTCATATATCTGGGACAGATGCAGAATCATTTCGATTACATATATTCGGTGTTGATTCGATAAACAAAGACTCGGTTATCGATCTCTCCCCCCCACCCAACTAGGTTAGTTTCTAATACTGTCTCTCCATCCCACCCTATAGTGTAACTGTGTGCAGAGCTATAGTCGAGCTTTCTTGAAAAATTTTATCTTATTAGGATCTACTAATCTTGATGTAGTTAAGTTTTTGTGCACTGTTATTCTAGTTAACCCTAGTCAACTACTTTGACATATATGTTTGACCTCCCAATCATCGCAAGGAGTTTGACAAACCAAATTACTTTACCTAATTGCATCAATAGTATCTTTTAACCCACAAATCTTGTTTATAAGCGAGTTTGTTGGTTTAAATACCACTTTAATCCCATCCTTATTGGTAATTCTTCGTAATGCTTTTGAGGTGCCTTCCGTGTACGTTAACACAGCATAGGCTTTGAATTCTCTCTCAACCCTTTCACCATCAATACTATTGGTATTTAAACTGTTATTCATAACACCTGTGTTACAACTACTACTGTTGATATTTTACTTTTAAGACATTCATTTACTATATAAAACCAATCTACACATTTCCTTAGATTAGTCCTTTGAGAAAGCGATTGCAGTTTCTTTGAACTGATTTTCATAAAAATACACTTTGAAGTGCTTACCTTTAAAATTATTCCTTTCCCGAAGTACACATCTCCTGTTACAGTCAGATGATCGAGCTCCAATAAATCTGGAATACTTGCAAATCTGGTCAAAAAATCTTTCACCTTCTTGAAGTGACTACCAAGTTTAATTAAAGGCACAGAAGGGAAACTACGTAGTGGAGAAACGGACAGAGTTCCTCCCTCAAGTACATACAGATTAGACATGACTAACAGCAGGTCTGAAGTTGTTTTAACCGGAAGAAAACGGCTCCGTGGAACATTCACTCCTAAAAATAATATTTAGTTTATTAGCAGCTAATTTGTGTCAATGAAATACGGACAAAATCAACGTAAAACCTTGCACAGAGGTGCATCGGTTCAAGTTGCCATGCCTCCCGACAGCAAACAAAGGACAAGTAGGTAGAGGAAGAGTAATAATACTGGAAAACGTGTGGGGGATGAGAAGAAACTTGGAAACTATGCCAAGGGAAAATGTTCAAGCTAAAGAAAACGGCAAAAAATACAATTGCGCCATTGCGGTCTATTTTCAGCCATGTCACCAAGGGTCTGCAACCTTTCGTCTCGACTACCTCAACTATGCTGTCTGCACCTCCTTTTTTGGCTGAAACCAACAGTCAAAGACTTTATGAATTGCTGTCACGTCTTGTTCTGATCATCCGGAGCTTTATTTCAACCCATTTCTACTTTAACTACCAATGCACGTTGAGATAAGCAGTGGTTCGGTGTGCGCAGCACATATTCAGTCCCCGAAAGTTCACAACCTCATCGAATAACTTCCTTGTCTTGCATAGTATTTCTCGCCTAACTTCAACACTGCTCATATAGTGATCGCACCATGCATGAGTAATGATGCGAAGACACCTATCGGTAGAAACTTACCATCTCTTTATGTTCTCCACTTTCAACGACTGTGCCATATAGAAGGACAGTAAACTGCAGCGCAGCATACTCCTACTTTAAAAGGTAGTCGTGTGTCTCGCTAGAGATGGCTCAAGGCGGCGAATGCCAAATTAGCCCTCTGTATCCGAGCCCGTTCGAGTTGATGCAACTTCCCAACTAAGTAAAGTGGTCGATGCATCTTATCACTTCATCTCCAATCCTTAAACTGAAAGTAGCTCCAGACCATTCAGGATATATCACTTTAAATCTGACAAGTGTAAAATATGTTCTCAGATCTCTGCTCAACGCGTTCATAAGACCCTGCATTTTGTCAGCGTTTTCAAATGGCTAAACAATGTTATCTGCGCATCCATAAGTCAATTCTTGGGGTACCTAAAGTTATGAGCGTTAATGTTCTTGACGGAATTAAACAGAAACGGTGACAACGAGTATAGCTGAAGGACACCACTGATTGTCCTTAGTTCAAGTGACAACTCTCCACAGTCTTTTACGTAGCTGCGTGAGTTCCAGTAGACAGCTTTGACTAGCTTTACCTACTAGCTTAATACTGCCTTTACAGTCAGTTAGACACTACCACAACGCCTCTCACTTGTCAGAGACTAATGCCTCCATCAAATCAAGAAATATGGCAAGTGTTGGCTGCCGGTAAGTATCCTTGTGTTCCATAACCTGAAGAAAGGTGAAGATTCGATCGATGCACCCCCTTATAAGTCTGATGCCTGCCTGGTATTGTCGAGTTTGACGTTCTGGAGCTCCTACCACGCGTTTGATGACCATGAATAATACCGTAAGATCTTAAATTGTTGAAGGCTGCTAGGACCCAAACAGCTCACTTATGACATCTCTGCATGCAATACCTGGTGATGCGGGTCTCTCAGGCGTTATGAGTCCCCTCAAAGTTGCTGATACGCTCCGCTGACGAGTGTCAACAAGCACGAAACACAGGTCCATGGCTTCCTTTGGATTCCCTCCAACCATCTGACATCAATCAGAGTGCACTATAATATTCAGTCCCCTAGCCTGTTGACTACATTACGAAATGATCGATATTAATTTGGTTAGCACTGATGACCATACAGTATGTAGTTGGCTACTATCCAGTCACCATTCATTATACAATGATATCCGAATAAAATTTTTATGGCTTCTTAAGGTTAACAAACGACAATTCAGAGGAGTAAAGTTTCTTTCCTTAAAAACGTGACCGGGATTTATGAGTAGCGAGTTTCTTCAATGACGATGCGATAGCACCGGACGTTTCTTGAAATCTAGTTGTTTGCATGCAAAGGATGTCACCATCAAAGAAGATTGAATACTTTAAGAAAGTAGTTCATGTAGTCTCCTACAGGAATGCTTTGGTTCAAGTTACAACGATTCATGGAAGAAAGTTAAGAAAACATTAAAATGAACAAGATAACTGTAGCGAAAAAAATATTTGGATCTGCATTAATCAGTGGTTCATTGAGTCAATTTTGGAAGATGAAAAGCCGATGCATTTCTACCATTATGATACATTTTTTAATTTTTCCATCCAATCCTTAAATATTGCTTACTAACATTTTGAGAAACTTAGCTAGGAAGCCTTATTGTACATGGATCAGACTGGAAACGAATGAATTTAAATTGGTTTCACTTCCTAGTTTGGTGACCCTTAAGCATTCCTCAATGTCTTGCCACTACGGGTAATATTGAATGTTGAAGCGATTGGCTGTTTATAATGAGTAACTTATGTCCGAAATACTTTCTTCAAAACATATTCTCAGTTTCACCTATTGATTTACCCTTCTCACATAGAGCTACACTAAGGATTACCAATTCTCATGCGAATACTCCTTTGAAGATATTCATAATTTGACCTAATACTGAATTAACTCAAAAAAAGGAAAATAAGCAAATCAACGTAGAACCTACTCTATACCCAACCAATTATACTTATTTTTACAGTACAGAAAATCCGGTTATGAGAAATTATCGTAAACTTCGTTCCCAAAAGCATGAGACATTCTCTCCTATTTAGTTGCACTATTTCTATAGACTTTTGATAGACATGACTTAATCACCTAGGTAATGGTTGTGGGTTATGACAGGCAAAATCAAAGCAGAACCTCCCACACAAGTGCATTGGCTGAAGCTGCCACACTTCAAAGTAGTATACAAAAAATAAGTGGATAGAAAAAGAGCGAAATCAAAGTAGTCAGTTATGTGGGGCAATAAACAATTTGATAACTATCAGTGCAGATTACACTTACTAAACAGCTCATCGTCTATGAAACATCACTGGGTATTTTTATTTAGATTCACGATAAAAATTTCTCAAACTATAGAAATTTACGAAAATATACTTGTTCTTACCGAAAGCCCCATTAAATGATTTAATAGCAGCTCCGGCTGCTTCTTCCAGCTGCAATATATTTGTCCCAGAATCTAAAGTTTTAGGATTTACGATGATTTCCATTTTGAGTGTCTTTTCCTTAACACTTCGATCCAAAGCTCGTAAGTCAACCCACAGGTTATTAGTATTAAATATCTTGAAAGTTCGAACACTAGCAAAATCATCGACATGATCGTCAGGGACCTAAAATTAAATGAAACGTAACGAAATCTCGTAATTAAGTATTATCGTTTAACACAAAAACGAAGTGTACGCGAGAATAGAGAATAGAAATACCTGAGCTAATTCAAGAAGACGTAAGTGTCCTCGATATTGAGTTAGAGTACCACCTTTGACGTCAGCTCGGGTCTTGTCAGTAACTTCCATGACAAACTCCGGAGATTGTCCACCGCAGTGCAGTTCCTTGTTCATCAAGAAATTCAGAATATCTTAAATCACATCAGAATTAAGGAAGATAGTGTAAAATCACTGATACATTAATAGGAATCTGCTAAATATATCAGTCTTCAGACTTGGAAAGGAGAATGACCACCCCTTTATACTTCAGTTTTAAAGATTCACTTAATCTGTCCTTCATCTTCTTTCTCATGTTCACCAAAACAACCTGAACTCCAAATCAAATAAAGTGTTGTAATTGCTGCACATATTGTCGCCGAATAAGAAAGTAAAGTAACTATCAATAAATATAACTTAAATAACCGGACTTCTACACCAATGACTGCACTGGTGTAACTTATTGGTGTTATATAAGGTAAAAATAAGTGCAATTCCATTCAGGTTCATACACCAAAAGATTAGTCGCGTCTGTTGTGAAACAGCTGACAATACCACCTGACTGCTCAAATATTAAACGGTTAAGCAGAGTTTGAACCAATGACCCACTGGTTGAAAGCAGACTACCTAGACCAATAAATCATTCATCCACTAAACTGTGTAGACTACTCAGCAAAGTGTTAAGTTAATGATAATGAGTACAGTACTACCATTCAAATAATAGTCTTCTTACATTTAAAAATTCAATGGAGTAATTTGGACATAAATATTAGTGATAACTTTATAATAAAATACCACAGACAGAGTTAATTCCACCATATTTAAATGCAATTATCTACAGAAAAAATAGTTTGTTCATGTATTCAAAAAGGATACTTAGATCAACAGTTGCTCCAAGATTATCAATATTCGACAGAAAAACCCATTCTTTACCATCACCTAACATTTTTTCAGCTAAACCACAGGCAACAAAACTACGGTAGAAGTCGCCATGACCGGGAGGATACCATTCTTCAGGTTGATAATTAATATCTGTAGATCTTCTTATTTCACAATCCCCGCCTTGTTTTTTATAAGCACATTTGGCAATAGGAAGTAAAGACTCTCGGTTCAAACGAGGATAGCTGAAAGTTAAGTGAATAAACTTACTTTCAACCAATAAGACAAATCATTAAAAATTTCGAAAACATCCTAAAATCTAATAATCCAATTTGACTATTTTTTTCTATCAATGGAACATTATTACAATTTTCTCGAAGTTAAATTACGAGTATAGACAAACACCTGTTATAAGTGACTATCTTCATTTTAATAGCAAATGAAGTCCGGAGGACGTAATTTCTATACATATATTATGCATGTGTGTACACTTCTGAAAAAAGTAAGAAACAGTTATTGCAGGCTAAGTTAAATGATAACAATGATATTGATTGATTCAGAAAACTACTTTAGAAGCCAATAAAATACTTTTATAATTGATTATAAAATGCGTGAAAAATTAACGTCACCCTAAATGGTGGTCGAAAACTGATAAACAGATTTTATTTGTACATGAACATGATCAATACTTACGCGCTTTGCAAAAATGTTAAAATTCGTACATTGACTTGCTGGTATTTCCGTAAAACTTTTTCCGTCTCAGTATGAGTGTTAAACGAATTCATTAGGACTAATGGGATATCCGTACCATATTCGTTATTTAATCTCTAAAACAAATGCATACGCAAATTTATTTACACCATTTGGTAAGGGTATTTTTCTAGCATTAGTCGATAACGATAGAGCAGTATTTATTAAGGATGTCTAAAAATGAATTATCTTTGAAAGGTTCAGGATCAACTTAATAATTAGTGTTGTTACTAATTCTACATCCTGCCTCACTGTAAAACTTCATCTAGTTTGCACCACTAATTGCAAGATAACTTCGCAAACGGTCATTTTAAAATATTGTTCAACTAAGTGAATGAAACCCAGCACTTAACTTACTGAACAAAGTCTCAACTTTCAGGTAGTGATCAGTAAACCATAAAATAATTCTTTTAACATGGACGACTATGAATTATCAGCTTCTATATATTAATAGGAGTGGAAGGCGAGATCTATCAGTTGTCATCCTCATCAGTATATTAAAACTGGCCTTCATTTTTATCTAAGGCCAGATTTTGGATGACAGTATTGATGGATACTTAAACTAAAATGTTAAAATTTCGATAAGTAAATGCACACATCAGCAATCAGTCATCAAATGAGCGTACAGCTTTAATGTTTTCCTGGCCCAAGTAATGAATCGGATACATCACTTATTTACAGAACTTTAAAATCAAAACATAATGGTTGTCACTGAATAGTAATATTATTTCTGCTTAAGAAGGTGTGGTTCAATCAGTGAAACATTTAAAAAAACTTTGTCTCAATTCTCTAAATAATCATATTTTATATCAAATATCTGGAGATAATTTCTGAATCTTAAGTTGTTGGCACCTACCTCAATTTGTTGCACAGTTAAATCCAGAAAAGTGAGATCATTGCGTACGGAAATTAACGACTTAGGTCCAGTACAACCCATAGTTGTACCCAAACCACCGTTCAGTTTCACCACAACTAGTTTATTCAGTTGTTGACAAATTACTTTGCGATCCGCGGGTAGAGGAAGGGCATTGTACATTTTCATCTAAAAGCACAATATGATTAAAAAACTCAAAGAATTATTACAAATATAAAGATAATGGTGAAAGTAGGCTACAAAAGTTTACTTTCCACCCAATCTAAATCAAAAGCGTAGTCCAGCGCCAATAAAACGCACAAAGAATACAAACGGTGCAAACGAAGAACGCGTATTTGTTACTGTGACCTACTCCCCTAAAAAGCATCTAGCCACCCTAACTGCTGCAAAGAACCTGGTTTCTAATACAAGAAAATCATTCCGAAGTAGCTTTCAACACAAGTTTGTGATCTATGAAAGCAGAACGTTATCCATTTGTTTAAGCCTGTAAATGAATAACTACTTTGTTTTGCTTTTGCCAACTGGAAATCCAAGTTGACTGACAGCAAAGTTTCCGTTAATTCTGGAGGTCATTTTAAATGCAGCCTCAGAGGCGTCCTATAACCCCTCAGAAATCAGAAAATACTAACCATTCATTTCATGCTACAAGTAAAATAAAGTATCACAAAGGCAAACCTTAGGTGGACAAATTCCAACCAATAATAAGTTTAGTTTCAAATGATGGTACTTTTTAATCTTAAGCAACTTTTGATGCATCTCAAACTATCTTACTGTGACTTGTTACTGCCACTACACAGTACCCAATCGTGCGAAAAGAGTTACGAACCCTCTTCCGAATATGAATCATCTTCCTTCAGGTTACTTAATAATACATCTAAGAATGATAGGCTAAGTGATTTTTAAAGGTCACCCGAACAACTAATGAGATTACCAACTATGCTACCTCATTTTTATGAAAAACCACAATCCCAGCTGAAATACATAAATCTGATCGATCATTTCAGCAGTTGCTAGGGTGGTCTTTAGTGCTACTTGATAACCTCAAGGTAGTGGTCTGAATTGAAGTTATTGCACTGACATTTTTCTTTAAAACTGAACTAAAAAAGTAGTCATCAGGCACACTACCTTCAGCAAATCAGTCCCTACTTAGAAAAGTTAGGTTTGGCATTGTGGCACCCACACAAACGTTTTAACCCGCAGAAGGGTAAATAACAAGGTCAGTAGAATGAGTTAATAACACACAAGGGTTGCCTTGAAAAGCATATCAATAGTGCATCTCAGCAAAAATAAGCACTATACTATCGGCCTTAAACACTATATGACGCAGTCTGTACTCTAAGTGGATAACAGTTTATAAGAGTAAAACGTTACTTAAAAGTGAAGTTTATAAGTTAATGGGTTGTAGCTTTGTACGTTAAAAAGTAGTAAAACACCTACTTACACTTTTCGGTGGTAAAGGCTCTATCTCACTCCAGTCAAAAGTCGCTGATGCGTCATGCAAATATCGCTTAAACAGTTCCTTGAAAGACTCCATCTGCAAGCGGAAACTTTCTTTTTCTAACGGAAGTGAGTTTGGTATAGTATTCACAAGAAGATCCAAATCCGCTGATAGCGCTTTCTCAGCATCTTTAAGAGTTAACTCTTTGAAAAGAGTTACAGTCTAAAACAGAGTAAGCATTTAAGATTAAACGACGTGAATTGATAATAACTTATACTGAAACTAAATGCACATCGGTGGTTTTGTTTGAAACTTTACGGATACGTCAACTTTTCGGAACTAACCATGTAAACCTCGTCAGTTAGTAGATAGATAGCCATGGTAATTTATGTGCTCCAACAAAACCAATAGTTTGTAGGAAAAATAGATGTTCTTAAAAATATCTGAAACGTAACACCAACTGACTCCCTTCCCGTCGTCGCATTTTTTATGGATATGACGTGGTGTATTCGGAAAATTAAACAATCACGTAACCAGACAGTATATTTTACGAGCTACTGCCTGGTTACTATGAAATAGTTTCTCTTTGAAAACTGATGCCCTAATACTTCTCAATAAAAAACACGACATGATAGGTAACAGAGCATCACTAAGGCTAGATGTGGTTGTTGGTAAGTTGAAACCGTGCGTTCTGAACAAAAATGTCAGAAACATTCCATGAGCCACTCCAAGGTTTCTCAGACTTTTTTCCCATTAACATCGAAATAAAAGTAGGCTTTTAAGTATTCCTGCACTGCATTTAAACTTAAGTGATATTTTAGATTACCTCATCTAGGTCTAACCGGTCAAGATATTGTCTCTCCTGATCAACTATTGCAGATCAGCTGTTAGGTAAATCTTTTCGAATATTTAGTTAAATTGCATAAAGGAAAACCAGTGAAACCTTGTAAAATGCATCTAGTACTGCTAAATAAATTTGTACCATATGTTGCTAAGCCTTTATGTAAGAGCCCCAACTCTCTGCGAGCCTAAAGTTGGTTTACTCCATGACTTCAAAGATGTGGAAAAAACTTGGTGTTTTCAAAGAGTTATCAGTATTTTAAACGAACGTCACCTTGTACACCTACCTAATATGTTAGTCATAATCTTAGACAAGACAGTCCTCAGAGTAATGTCTCAATTTTTCGTACTACAGTAACCTTTCCTGAAAAGTGAAGTGTGTTCGGGAAGATCTATTCTTTTCTTACCGAACAACTCAGTGGAACAAAACAAGTAGTGGTACCTAAAGGACCACCAGTTACCTCGGAAAACACCATAGCAGGTTGTGATCAAAATGACTAACAAACAAAGTAACAATGTATGTTGCATAGATATTTAGTATGAGCAGCATAACCGTTAGAGATTGAAAGAGTAGTGTCGATTAGTAATGAAAGACAAATTATGGAAAGCATTATGATTAAGTTGGTGACAAGGAAACTTATAAACCAAAAATAACTTACAACAAGGAACCTTGCATGACTGGCAGGATTTTCAAAGCAGCACTACGACAGAGCAATGAAGAACAGCAGCTCTTGATGAGTAATGGGAGAATAGTGACCTGGGCTTATTAGTTAAACTACTCGAGCTGCTTACTCAGAGTTGGATATGATCCTTTTTTAATGGTCACAATCATTAGACTCCAGTTAAAAGACAAGGAGAGAAGTACTCGGACAATAACCACATATTATTTAAATTGGTCAGCATAGTCTTTAAAATACACTGTTTTATAATCTTTAAATAACTCACTGGAGCTTGGAAGCAGCAAACATGAAAAATTCAGGTAGTCTACAAGGATAACCATATGCATATTGGAAGCACTATATAACGTTACTGTGTTTTAGACTATTGCACTCATAATGAGGCTACAGTCTATAAAGAGATATCATCTGATGTGCCTTCGCTTAGTAATATTCACCAAAGATGCTAACCCCAATTTGTTGAATTTTATCACAAATGTAATTGGGAAAGCCATTTTTGAACAAAAGCTGCATGAAATGACCACCTCATCAGAGATTCCTTAACTAACTTAGTATACGCATATGACATAGTTCAGTCGGCTGAAAACACCAACATTCTGAGTCTTGTAAACCTCATGAAGGATAAACTGAGAATCTGTTGGATAATTTCTACTCAGTATAAGCAAACTGCAACTTCAGAACTTATTTACATTGACACTCCGTTCGGAGAAATTCCAGACGCTATTCATCTAGGAAATTGAATTCACCTTAGTGGTTTGATATCCAGAAAACGCTTAAGATGGAGGAGAGTGACTTAACATTCGGTAGCCGGATTTCGACACCTTTTGAGACCAGTGAAACATCAAAATGTCTATTAGAGATTAAATGTACTAGGCAGGAACTAATGTTTGGTAAATTTATGAAAGTTGCTGCAACATTTAATAAAATAAGAGGAATAGAAGGCATTTGAATGCTATCCCATTGACTCACCAATTTGTTTTGTCTTCCTGCTTCTAGGTCATCCTACTGTCGACTAAGCAAACTGACCTCAACTAAACACCAAGAGTTCTTCTTGACCAACCTACTTTATGTCATGTGTCAAAGTTAGAGAACTCTTGGATCCATAGTAAGACAAAAGCCTAGGTTAAAAACCCTTTCTATAACGTGAAACAAAGAATGGTGGTCGATGAGGTAGATTATCCGTGGATAAAAACGGGGAATGGCACATATCAACATAAAACCTAAAGATACCCCATTAATCTCATTCTACTGCGTTAAAACAGCAAAACGTTTGTCTGATTGTCATAGGTTTGCAAAAGATTTCAAACTCTGGAGAGCTGCATGCACTAATAAGGATAGATCAACTGCTGAGAAACATTTAAATAGATGGGTTAATCGCTCCATAAGTTGACCGTAATAGATTAAAATCAGTTAGAGTCTAGTTAGGATTGTTGGTCACGGCAATTTACATGGCTACTGACCGACAAAAGAAACTTATAATCTCACACATAGGTGTATCGGTTCAAGTTACCATAACTTAGAGTAGTAAACAAAGAAGAGGTGGATAGGAAAACAGTAATTTCAAATTAGATAAAGTAGTTTAAGAGAACAAGCAATCTGAAGACAAAGGTCAGTATGCATATCCAAGCTTTTGAAGATGCCAAGGAGGGCATACATCTGCGCCATTGTGACCTATTTTGAGCCATGTCACCAAGAGTCCTCAACCACTGATTCCTTTCGTCTTGGGGACCCTAGCCAAATAGTCTGCATCACCCCCCCACATGACTCAGACCAGGAGTAAGGGACTTCATCGACTGACCACCCTGAACCCTCTTCCAACTTAATCCAGCTTTTCCCATAATGGCACTTTGAGGTATGCGGTGACCCGACAAGGACAGTACATGTCCAAGCCATCTCAGTCGACAAAGGCTGACAACTTCATCAATCGACTTGCTTGTCATGCCTAGTACCCTTCGCGTGACCCCAACGTTGCTCACATGGTGATTACACCAAAGACGAGAAATGCTACGAAGACAACTACATGGTTAGGCAGTAAACTGAATGCTGACACCTGAGGTTTATGAAGGCAATAATTTAAGAGTCATTTTCACTTATGACCTTCAATACACAGTAAAGCACTAAGGCTCAGGCAGTCAAACTTCACAAACATCACGCTTTTCTCACATGACCTCCTAGAGTTTCCACTAGATATGTTTCTGATATAACACCGTAAATGCATTAAACCTCATTTTCACATAACCAGTGTATATGCTTCCCAAATGTAAAGCAAATACACGGAACATGTTTAAATGGTGAGAATTAAAATAGTTAAATGCTTATCCATCTCAACTTTCTTAATAGTATCCGTAAAATCCGTTGGCATTCAAGGTTACACAACATAAAGTTGGTAGCTCTCCAGTGACTAATCAGTGTATCTAATCCAGTCCTGCAGCAGGTGAAACGTGACCCAAATAGCTCAGTAGTAACACCTCTGACTGCAGCACATAGTGACGAGGGAGACAAGTCTAAGAGGATATATTATTTCTCTCAGGGTCACAGAAAAGCCTTGCTAACAAGTGCCAACAGGCTCCTTATTGATTCCCTCCGACTACTTAACACCAATCAACGTGCACTAGGACGCTGAGTCTTCTAGACTGATGACTACATCAAAAAGTGATCAATTTAACTGGAACAGCATTAAAGACTAAATAACTTGAATTTAGGTGCTCCCCAGTGACTACTCACTATGCTTCCTTAATATGCTTTGTCAAATGTTAGGAGATCCTGTTTCAACGGATTGCACCCTAAGTAATTTTTTCGGCGTTAATTTATCCCCTTCAGAACCGATGATCTGATAGGATGACTAGAAATTTTAAAAATAACGGTTGAATCGTCCAAGTTTGAAATTCTGTTTTTCATACTACGGTATACTTCAGAAAAATTCTTCACGGGACAATGTTAACCGAACGATTTTGCTGATATTCTAAATAAAATATTGTATCTTAGTGTAATAAGAACCAGACGGATTAATCAAGGCAACTTTGTGCTATCTTTGCTTCCGAAATCTAAAACCTGCCAAACGCAAGCTTAGTATCTAAAAAGTTTGAAGATAATGATGATGAAACTTACAAACCTGTCTCATTAAATGAAGTCGTATATACCGTGAAAAATACTTGTAATCTGAAGCACCCAAACTGCACACGGTTTATAGTGTGGCTTCTTATCACTAGTGAAGGCGAAATGTTGAGTACCTCCAAGAAAGTTGAAAAGCCTTCCCAATCCAAAATAAATCTGGAAAACCCCCAGTTTTGCAGCCTTTTACAGTGGTTTAGAGCCTTAATGCCAACTGTTTACTTTGTTTTTTAGTTTACTAACACATGCAGAAGTTCCTCCTGTTTAGTGAATCAATTCACGCCAAAACAAATCTGAGTAATGTTCAGTCCTGCCAAAATCCTCTAAAAACCATTGATACGCTGGAATATTTACTCAATTAAAAGGCTGCCGAAATGAAATTGAGCAAGGTTTTAAGTCATATTCAACCAATTGACTACGGAAAACTGGGAAAACAGTGGTATTTGAGCCACATTTTTACGACCTTCGATAGTCATGCAGAATGTCTAATGGCTTTTGTCACAAACCCCTGCTTCTATAAATAAAGACCATGTTGGAAATCAAAATAACGATTTTTTTTTGTATGTTAATTGCTTGGAAAAACGAGGGTTGTAGGTTAAAGTTGGTGTAATTGGATAAATAGACCCCTGCATATAGTGACAACTGTTTAAAAGCGTCTAAACATAGGAATATCAGGTGATCAAACACGTTCTAATCCCACGCTCTGTGAGACATAACTCACCAACCACTTCGTCGCACACAGCTGACAAGTGAAGCACCGAGGATGAATCAGGATAAAGTCTCAACGATAGGGATACTAAAACCAAGTCCCATGATTATCGAAACAGTGAAGATTTTGAAATAAAGGTGCTGAAACTGCGTCTGACAGAAATTCTCGTGTAGACAACTTAGCAAGCAACGGAGTTTCCAGTGTAGGCTATCCAAACTTATCCCCGAGGGTGGAATGATGTAGGCACAAAGAACCGATTTAACAGAGAATAAAACAGTGAACAAATTAACTATAACACAGATATTTAAATAACAGAATACTAATATGAGATCACCCAGTTGACGACAAGAACTATATAAACACAATGACTATTTATTTGGGCTAAGTATTTGTATTAGTGATATACTTTGGTTGTAAATAGAAATTTTTTCATGCGTAGCAAGAAGCACTCTCCTGACTGGAAAAATTACCCACACCCACATCTGATGACATTTTAATATATTTTCGAAATGATGTTAGACTAAAAGTTGATTGGACATACGTATATAAACAAAGGACCCAGACATTAACAATTGGACATTATCTAGGGGTTGTTTCCAGTGCACCAAAAACAGTTTGCATATCCCTGACTTACGAGATTATATCTTTTGTAATAGCTTTTTATACCTTTTATTTCAAATTTATCATGACATCTTTTTATGCTTTCCTAACATGTAGGCGAATTTCGGCCACGTTAAATAAACAGGAATATCTTTGCTGTTGGAAATCAGGTCTGGTTATAGACATTCTCGGTAAACATCTGGTGGCGTTTTTCTCTTTTCGATTACAAAGTCCTAAATCCTTTTTACGGGCTTGTACAAAATGATTATTTTTTACTCTCGCTTCTTGGTCTTTCGGAATGGTTTCAGGTCCTCGGTGGATTCTGATTTAGTAGATATACCCACCTACCTGCTGTGGCTCTGACAAAGTCTAAGGCCTTTTGCAAGTTGAGTTAGTCTGCAAAGAGGAGTTTATTTTTTGTCCTGAGAGAGGATGGCACGTTTTCACTTCAACTGGGGTTTGTTTTTACATGGGGTATTGAAAAAGGTCACGGAGAGGACTGAATACAGCACTCATCTGTTTTTCCAATACAGACGGGTGAATGCGACACCAGGACCATGAAAGTGTCACCTCTACTCTATGCAACCTCTCTACATTGGGTAATGTGTTAAGATATGAGTAGTTTACATGATGGATAGAGCCAGGAAGAATGGGTTCGAGGTGAATTGTTCTCTGAGCATGGCTTAGGTTGAAAAGCATTTCAGCGTCATGCTGGATATCCCCGTCAAAATATCGGGGCTTCAAGCGGGGAGAAGTAACTGATTGTGCATCAAAACATAGGATGAGCAACTTTGCTTTTGGTTTCGTGCACATCAAACTTCCTACTCCCACTTCCTGCCGGCAGACTTCGCAGAAAGATGGGTAACTGTTTAGACGGTAGTTTTTTCTGCTTGGTGTGGTTTGAAGTCACTTAGTTGTGGTGAGCTTGACGTTTTTGTTCCAGCGAACTTTTGAAAGCAGCTCCTATCTCACTGGCTAACTTGCCTATTTGACAGAGGTGGTGATGGCTATCTTGATCTGATTAATCCACTCGCATATCCCGGACGGGCGCCCAATTTGTTGATCAGTCTATTCGCCCCACCCTTAAGTACTTCAATGTTACCAATGTTTTTTAAAACACTACCGCATAAGTAGACTCGCGTCGTGTTGATTAATTAGTCACGGGTTATTTTTTAGATGTACATGAGTTGTCTTGTATGAGTATTAAATAACAATGGTGAGAGAATCCAGTGTGAGCACTCCACTGGTGTTTGAAATACTAACAGAAAAGTTACATTGGGCAAAATAAGTTAGACGATGTGATTTCACTGCCAAAAATGAGGAAAAAAGAATTCCGAAACTTCTGCGAAATATTCGCCACTAGCCCGGTATATATCCATGCCACAGAGGCTTTACTTAGAGGGTAGCCAAGTTCAAAGTATCACCTCATAGGCTGCGGTTGTCAAATTTTCCTTATTGACAAAACTTTATCTTGAGATGAGCATAACATTACTTAACTACTTGCTAACCTGATATCAAGTAACTGGTGCCCACTTCTTGAGATGGACTATACTTTAGAGGAACAAGCATTTAGTAGTAACTTATTATTACCATTACATTACTTTTCCCTTGGGTTCCTAGTAGAACATAGGGCCTCACTAACATGCCTTCATTGCACTCTCTTCTCTGCAGTCTTTTGTACCTGGTACCACAACTGCCCACAAGCTTTCACCTCTTCCTCAGACGCCCAACTCGTCGTTTCCCCCATAGACTCCATTCGAGGGCCTGACCTGGCTCATGATGTCCCCGACAGGCTTTCTCACTGTATGCACAATCCATCTCTACTTTCTTCTGCATATTTGTTGGGTGACGGGCTCTTGCTTAATTCGTTGCCAAAGTTCCTTGTTGCTTATTCCATCTGGCCATCTAACCTTCAGTATCGAGTGAGCGTGGGCGGCAGCTGTTGATGAACGCCTGTAGTTTGTTGGAAGTGCTTTTCGTGACGTACCAAGTTTCTGAACCATATGGCAGCACTGACTTGACATTAGTGTTGAAAATCTGGATCTTGTTCTTTGTGTTGAGTGCAGTAGATTTCCACTCTGATTTCAGATTAACGAAAGCCTGTCTTGCTTTTCCGATCCTGGTTTTGACATTCTCGGGTGTGCCGTCTGTAGTTGAAGCGATGGTAGTGCACCTTCCTGGCACCAAAATACAACTAGGGCTCAAATAAATAGATTAAATTAAATTAACTAAATTAAGCTCTAGCTCGCCTTCGGATGCTTTAAATGTTTTAAGTTTTGTTTAAACGAGCATGCATCGGAGCAGGCTTGGACGCTATTTTGCGCTTCATTAGTGCTGATTAGCACGCACGTACTAAGAGTCCCTAGCCCCGCCATGCTAGCCAGATACCTCGAATAAACGTTGCCCCCATTCATTACTATTACATTTACTCTAATCAAATACATTACTTCTTCGAATATATTCCTGAACCAGTCCTTTTGGTTTGTGTTTCGTCATCAGTACTTACACGTTAGGTAAAGCGCTGGAGGACATCAAGTTAAGTAGCGTTGGTAAAACTTTACGGAATAGCAACACACTTCCCCACACGATGCTGCTTAGGTGAGTGCAAGAGACTACTTCCTTCAGGTTTCCCCGTCGGTGGTGATTGGTGCCTCTTGATGCTGCTGTTGTTGCTGTTCGTTGGGTATCTTCATCACCTCTGTCTTCTATACGTTCACTTGAAGTCCCGTCTTCGCTGCCCTGCCTCTTCTGTCAACTTGTTAGTTTTCGCTTGCAGATCTTCGAGTTCGATTGAGATTAGACATAAAACATCATCGGTGGCGAAATCCAATTCTTCTAGGGTCTTGTCATAGGTCCAGCCAGTGAATGCCCACCTTCTCGCCCCCACAGTTTGCTGCCTGATCCAGTCGACCACAATCAGGAAGATCATAGGTGATAGTAGACAGTCTTGTCTTACTCCTTTCAGTCTTCACTTCACTTCAAAGGCGTCAATGAGCTTTCCATTGTCAATCACGTCTTTATATATCTGTTAAATGAGGTTGATAAAGGTTAGTGGCACTCCGTAGTGTTGAAGCAGTTTCCAAATTACCCCTCCATCGACGCTGTAGAAGGCCTTTTCAAAATCGATGAAGTTGAGATGGAGAGTTGACTACCATTCTATGCTCTGTTCTATGATGATGCGTAGCGTTGCAATTTGATCCACACATAATTCATTCTTCCTTTAGCCAGCCAGCCAGCCCGTTCCGGTCGTAATTTTGTATCCAGAGCATCCTTTAGTCTCTCCAGGATGATGCGGCATAATATTTCGCCTGGGGTGGACAAGAGTGGAGCATGATTCCGTGCCAGTTCTTGTAATGATTTAGGTCTCCCTTCTTTGGGAAATTGACAAGGTAGCCCTTCTTCTAATCAACCGGCAGGTACCTTTCCTTCCTTCCTTCCTTCCTCGCAAACCTTGTGTAGTAGTGGTGTGAGCATGTCCGCTTTTGTCTGTGCGTGTTTTCAGTGCTTTTGGTGGAATTCTATCTGGCCCACTCTTTTCTTCTATTTAACGTGCATTCAATTTGCAATGAGCTTAGTTATCTAAAGTGTCTAGTTGTATTCTAATCGCTGGAACTCGGTGTACTTCAGATACCACAAACCTCAGGCTCACGTTGTATCACAGTGAGAGCAGTACTTGTGTAGGTGGAGGTCGCGCTGTCTATGTTGCCGTGATGTTTCATCTTCCAGTGCCTTCTCACTGGGCTGGAATGTACTAGATAATGCAGTATTCGCGAGCATCAACACTTCCCAACATTACAAAATTACCGTTGGTTGCCTATAGAGGTCGCCATTCGCCGGACCCGTCGTTGACAAGCATGTTAGCAAAATAGTCAAGCTATTGTCATCCCTACCAGCGTGTACAGTGGTAGGTGGTGATTTTAATATGCCGGGGATCATATGGGAGACACAGAAAGAGTCATCAAGTTTTAAATCATCTTTAAAACCTAAGAAAGCAATGGGTGGGTCCAAGTTGTTAGTGGCCGTACTCAAAGAAATAACATGCTTAATCTGATTTATTTTTAACAACGTGCCACCATATACACTAGCAGTGAATTCTTAGAAAGTGGCTACGAGGCTGTAGTTTGTCAGCTCATTGCACCATGTGGGTGAACTCCTGCATTACCAAGGCATACAACATTCGTTCTCAGAAGTTTTGTTGACTTCTACTGGCCATGCTCACAACACTTAATACTCTGTCTAGACTGGGACAAGCTATAAATAAATAATACAATGATCACTAAACATTTTATCCTCATGCAAGCAATTTAACATGAAAGAAGCCAGTTTACGGTCATCATCACGTTGATACATATTGGAAAATGTACAAGATTTTGCGGGATCTGAATGGTACGGAATGGAGGTCATTGAATTAGATTAAAAACATGAGATTACACAAGTCATGAAATGAAGGGGGAACTACCACTTTTCGGTGTATAAGGAGTGCTAAAGTTTGGATCGTTTTCAGTCATACTTTCTTTTTTCACCGTTAGTGGCACCAAGGCCACGCGAAGTTCCAAATTCTCGTTACAAGCAGTCGACTTGTTTGGTTCGCCTTCACGTGGTCCCGCCACGCTATATAAACGTCTATTTTACCACAAATTCTTATTCTTATAGCTTCGGAGACCAAAACAATCCACACTGACGACGTCGACAATCCGTAAGTTTTCATATAATCATGTGATCCAAGTGAATATCATTCCCAGCAATGTAGACCTACGCTATCAGAACTAGATATTGTTATGCAGAGGAATAAACATTCTGAAAAAACTCCGGACCAATAGCAGTGAGTTTTCCATACTGTTCACGTCAAGGTAGGCAGCATTGTCAAGGAGGTATGTTCACTGTTAGATGAAGTACTACAGAAGTCTGTTTCATAGC